TAATTGCGATGTGTATGAAAACTGTACTACGACCCTAAAAAAGACAAGTGGGCAAACCAAATAAACATAGAAAATCAGGCTCCTATTGAGTCAGACATAATCCCCATCTTATTTTCAAACCTCGATTTGAATTGAGTCCCAGAAGCTGACTTTACTGGAAATGACACGGGGCTGATACTTCTCATTGTTGGATTTGTACTTGACTAGTCAAGGGAATCATTAGTAGCAGAATTTGATATAATAATATTAGATAATAAGATGATAAACGATATACGGCATAATTGGTGTGTCATGACAATTTAACTTCAAAATAAACACAACGAGCCTGATTTTTTCCGATAAATGCATTCATTAAATATTACACACAATAGACGTCAAATCAATTTATCAATTAAGAACTAGAATTAAATACGTTCATTGGAGATACTTAATAACGTTTGCGAATTAAGAAGCTTTAATTAACAATCTTAATACAACTACCGGTAACTCATTTCATATGATTATGGGTTTAAACAAGTGTTTTCTAAATACTTGCAGTACTATTAAAAATTTTTGATTAAAGAATTGACGTAATACCAAATACGTTAAAATGAAATTAGTTGTATTAAAACGGATTGAACAAAAGGATCTAAATGATCATTATTTTGTTTAAATATAATCAACTCAAATTTATTATTTTCCCGATATAATCAAAATTGTAAGAAACAGGTCAGGCATTACTTGAAAAATGATTCCCTTTAAGCCCATAATCTCAACTCAATTAATTAATAGCAATTATCACTTTGAGCAGCTTGAGTAATTCGCCATACCAAAATTGATGACGTATTTCACACTCAATCCCAAGACAAGATTACACGTCAATTATTGACTACTCGGCATAGAACTTGCAAGTAAATGTGCTGTTGTCTATAAAGTGAAACTCAATGCAACAAGAGAGCGTTGCTCAAATATATGACACATTAGCCAAAACGAAGTAATATAAGGTATACAATCTGTAACTGTATGCTAGCGCTGTCTTCACAACTAATGCGAATGTCATCGCACACAATAAACGAAAAAACAAATCCCGTTGAGCCCATAAAATATTGTGAGGTAAGGAATAGCTTCAAGCCAAAATTAAAATCTTTAAATGAAAATTCCAAAGCAATTGGTCCCGAAGTTAATAAGAAATGCTAATTTTTCATAAAAATAAGAACAAAAATACCAACAACAACATAACGGGAATATCGGTCAGAGTCCGAAGACTTATCGATCGAAAGTTAGGGGATCCCCAAAACAGCGCTCTTACCTCATAGTGACACTCTATGTCCTATCACTAATTAATTAATAAATCGCTAATTATACGACATAATCTGCCCAAAATCAATAGGCTTTTGGTCCGAGATATGATGAATGCACATGCAAAATCTGGAGCAGATTCAATCTTGCTTTCGTGAGATATCGCGTACATCTAACAGACATACACACAAACAGACAGACAGACAAAAACCTATCACCATACTTACCGATTAAAATCGATAAGTAATAACAAAATAATCTATGAATAAATTTCTAATCGTTGTTAGGGATGTCAATATTAGATCGAACAATGAAAGTGATCACTTTCTAATAAGATTTATCGAAACGTTTAATTTGGTTAACGATTTCTTTAATTTGCCTCAAATGACGAATGAAGTTTCCCAATATCATTTCTCTCACGTGTGCGAAAATTTTTATATTTTCCTCTTCTATATTCCTGAATATAAGAAGAATATTCCTTATAAGCACGATAATTCTACTTATGGCATTATTTTGAATAACTTCATTGGCGAAATCATAGGAACAAAATGGCTATTCTGCAGATAGTTGAATTTGAAAGCAAAAATATTGAAACAAATAGAAAACTAGAAAAAATCTATCGATTTAGGAACAACACAAAATTACGTAGACAGAAGAAGGACTTAACACTGAAAAACTGTACGGTTGGGAAAAAACTGAGCCAACATCAATAAAATACTAAAATATAATTGCAGCATCTAGAATAAAGAATGGATTTACCAACAATCTGTGTTCAATTGTGGAATCCGATAAAACAGAAGAATCAACAAATCAAAAACATATGGAAGCTTTTGGATAGAAATTCAAAAAGATTTTGTACAAAAACAAACATTTTGAAAAAATTTTAGAATAGATTTGCGAAGAAAAATGAACAATTTATTGCCTACAAATGACGAAAAAAAATGAAATAATCTACTACAAGGGATTAAAAGCTAAGCAGCATCGTTCTCTCAACTGTACACCAAGACATCTTTTCCACGCAAAACATGGAACTGCAACAGTCATATCTTGCTGCTGATTGTGAAACCATTCAGCTCGTCATTATATTATTTAAAACTTTTATTGAAATATATTTATTAACATTGCGTGCAATATTATTTTAAAATAAATTAAATTTGCTATTAATCATATGTTACGTTAAGTGATTTTTGTAGAGTAGAAAAATAAGATTACATTTCTTAAGAGTGGGATTTGGAGGCGAAAAGTGAGCTGAAAAATTTACCGACATCGATTCTTTGATACAGAAAACTTACTAGTTCATACTCAAGAGTAAACAATGTTAACGCAATGATATATCTGTCTTGGTTTGGTTAATGTAGTGTAGGCCTGTAGGGCGTCGTGACTAAAAATTGATCTGAATGAATGTTAAAGTTTTTATGGTTGTGACTCATTCAGCCTCGAAGAATAAATTGTTACGATTTTCCACTTGTGCGTAAAGCTTAGCTACATTTTATAAGCAGGTTATGAATATGTATTAGTGAAGTTGACGCAAATATTAAGCTTAAAACCATGAGGTTTGTAACCATAACCTAAGATATTTTCATAAGCAGAAGGCATCTTGAAGCGCTATCGCGCAGATGTACACAGAGCGTGCGACACCTGTGGTGATACAACGAGTTTTCGATGAAGTGGGATCTGAGGTATAACCACCATTGACAGTTCCAATGAAACTTGTATATGTGTGAAATCACACTCAGCCAAGCTAAACGTAGGATTGTGGATATCTTTGGTTAAATATAGCATTTTTCACACGAGTGGCTTGGTAAGGGAAGGATTTCATGAAGTAAAATTATTTCAGAAGAGTCGAACCTCTGATAAAGCTCTAGCGACCCCAGGGGCAAAAGTACGTGGGCGCAAATGTACGCAGGTGCAAATGTATTTTCTCGGGTGCAAATGTCCGCGGTGCAAATGTCCGCGAGTGTCAATGTCCGAGGGTGTAAATGTCCATGGGTGAAAATTTAAGGGGGTGCAAATGTACATGGGTGCAAATATCTATAGGTGCAAATGTTCATGGGTGCAAATGTTCATCTGCGCAATCTGTGTTGGTGCTAAAATCTGCTGGTGCAAATGTATCGGTGCAATTCTTCATGTGCAAATGTTCGTGGGTGCAAAAATATACAGATGCAATTATCCTGGGTGCAAATGTACGTGTACAATTGTACGTTGGTGCAAATATATTGAAACCAGGAAAAATATTTGTCATTTTACTGCAAAAAAAAAAAAAAGATTATTGCGAACATATGTCGTTTGAATATATCACATATCGTAAAAAAATCTGCAAATCGTTTTTTTTTTATTTTAGGTAATATAACTGATATAAATTTATTAATTTCACTGTTTAAAAGCAAATTTGTTGTTTAAGCCTGAAAGAATAGAAAAATTACCTAATTTGTTTTGTCTGTTTTTTCACTATATCGTATTATTGGTTAGCAGGCAACCACATATGAATCTTCGCTTGGATTTATTTCGAAGAAACAATACACGCGACAAAAGATGTTTCCATCATTATTTTGCTTATTAAAAATTTTATTCTTTCAAACTGCGGTCCATTCTGAAACCATAATCAAACTTATATATTATAAAACATGAACCCAAAGACAAATTTTCTTGCAGCTGGATCGTATTTGGGAACATAAATAGAAATATAATTGGTTGTAATCGTCTTTATCAAAAAGCCGGCATCCACGAACTATACGTCAACGTTAACCACAATCATCAATTACTACTATTTCTTGTACAGAACAAATGATGCGTTGAATTAAAAGTTATTAGTTCATGAACTTAATAAGAGCATGTAACACTTAAACATAATGTACGCGTTAACAATGAAGATACAAAAGTTTTTTGACATAGGACAAGTTACAGATGTTAAAGCATGATTGACGCTACAAAAATAGAAAATAAAACATGTCTTTGATTCAATGTAGCTCTTTTGTTTATTCTTCGACGATGTTCAACCTTTTTGATCACTTCCGACTTCCTGTTTATTTTGTACCTTGGGTCAAATTTATGCTGATAGGCTAAAACAAGATTCGGTTTTAAATGGAGTTCACTGTATAATATATTTCGTGTCGTCTGTCAGTATCTTTGTTATATGGCACACGTTGCGGGTATGCCGCATATGATGTATTTATTATTATAAACCTGATTTCCGAACTTCAGCCTGTAATTAGAAGAAAAATACGGTAATTGTCGGACTGCGATTAAAATTATGAAGGTCCAACGGATCCCAAACAACTATAATTATCACCGTAGTTCCGTTTTCCTGTTAAATTATGGCTTTGTTAATCAATTGTGAACTAAATAAAATAATAAACACACTGGTAGCTGGAGGAAACGCTTCCGGATAATAATAAAAATTTAGCACAATGGCTGTGCTGTCTATATCGCATGGCTGGGTATTTCGATTCGAAAGGTAAACTATTTTAGTCGGTTCAGACGGAAATTTCGAATCGCTGCTCGTTTTTTTGTTCGCTGAAGGTCGGGGTGAATTCTTCATATAGATAGCTGGAGGATGGGTGCATGCATCAATCGTAGAACGAATGCAGCTGCGTCATTATTTGAAGAGTTATTCAAAATAACTTATTAGTGGGTCCGACTTCCCTCGACCTACTATATATATATTCTAGTTTCTTGACTACACCTGGCATCCCTCAAATCAGTGTACATAGAAACATTGGCAATTTTTATCATTGCAAAGAGCATTTTGCAGCAAAATTTTTATATCAAGGCCAAAAATTTCACGTATTTAAGCAAAGAAAATCATAAAAAACATCAGGCATGTTTACTGAATATCACTTCTTTTTAAATAAAGCGCTCATGGTGAATCTGGCAGGAATATTAAAACACATGAATATTAAAATGATAATAATAATAAAAACAACAAAATAACAGCAAGAAAGGTGTATGCTAAAAACAACAAAAAAAAAGATGGAAAATAGATGGTGAGCTGTAGGAAAATTTCCTTTTCAAAATTTTCTTGTTGATTATCCGATAAAAATTTAAGTATTTTTTTAAAAGTTTGTTAAAATTGATTATATAATTCGTAAATTCTTTTATTTTGATTTTTTCATATTATGACAAATATTCCCTTTTAATTTAATTTTCTTTTTACTAATTTTTTCTACTTTTTTCGTAATGTGAGAAGATGAAAATGATATCTCATGTCAAAAATTAGTTATGTAATTAATTGTTACAACAATGTCAAAAACAGATAAGGTACTAATAATAATATTAATAATAAAAATAAGAAATAAAAGCAAGCAAAATACGGTACAATACAACAATTTTCTAGAATTACTGATCCAATGTTAAAAAGTGCGATAAAATTAACATCAATTTACGGTGCTACTTAGATTTAGCCACGTTCGAAATTCAAGTTAATGTAACGCATTTTTAACAGTGTTTAGCATGCTAATGCAACAGTGTACGATATGTAGTTAAAAGGCAGCATTGGCTCTTTAATTTATTTGTTTGGTTTCTGTAACTGACAGAATCAAAACTATTCTTTAAACTTGGTTTTGTGCTGAAATCAGTCAACCATATCTGCTGTTGAATTTCCATTGCCATTTCCTTGAAAATCTGTTTCGTCGTCTAAATCGTCTTGGGCATCTTTTTTCATGTCAGCGTATTTACTCTTGAAAAATCCAGCCTGATAAAGAGGGGGAAATTATATTTTATTATATTATTTCGTATTTTGGCGCAAATATAACGCAAAAAATATACTCTAAAATCGAAATGAAAGTACTGAGAGTATTAAAAATATTAAAGTAAATTGTACCTTCCATAAAATAAGTACAAGCAGAATAAGGAGCAGTAATCCTCCGATCGCGGCAACAATGTAAATCCATAAATTATCAGAAGTGGGTTCGGGAGCTGCGGTTGCTTCGTATTTCTTCGCTTTCGATATAACCTGACAGAAAAAAATATTAAGTCAGTTACTCTATGTATGACGGAAGCATCTTATTGGACACGAAATGGGCATGCAGATTGTTTTATTATTACAATTTTGTTGTTAAAATTGTTTCTCATTAACTACAGGACCAATTGTTTTGAAATAAGTGCTCTTCAGTGGTTAAAGATCGCATTTTTGCGCTAGAAGGCTATTAATTTAGTTCTTTTAAAATTTCCTGTGGGCTCCAAGGTATTCGTTTTTTTTGTGTGCGACGACGTCATCAAACTTAAAATGCGCATCTTGTGGCGGTTCCACTTTAGTAATCTGGTGATCAGGCGGTACCGGTAGTCTACTGTTACAGATTGCATACACGGACTACTCCGTTTTGGCCGTCGTGTCCACATATTTGAGCATTGCTCTCTTTTGTTATCCTACACGACAATATACTATATAATATAGAGAGAGTTAATTTTACCTGTTTAGTTTTGGTAATACCGTTGTCACCATTCTCATCAACAATATAAGGAGAATTGTTTGTGTTAACCGAGTATCGAGAATGCAATTCTAACTCATCGAAATCCTGAAAGAAAAATTGTCACAAATTTATAATTTTGATGATAGTTAGATATTTATCTATCGATAACCTCACAATTTAAAAATTTGTACAATACTCTTATAAGACTCTGTATGAGTACTCGAAAGCGTGTTGGGAACCTTCCTCGAACATTAGTACCGTGCTATTTTCGTTTGTTTAGGTAAAAGATTGACAGAGCATGATATTTTTTGAACTTTTTTTTTCAGATTCAAATGAAAGTATTTTCAAAGCTTATTTTCTCATTTAAAAATCTTATAGGAAATGTAGGTAGCAATTACTACTTGCTCTATACTCTCACCGTGTCATTGAAATCAATGCTAGAACTCCAAAACCGGAAGTGCGCTTTGAATCGAATAAGTTCTGAAAGTCGCAGATCCGAAATGACGCATCTCAATGTCTCACACGTGAAATTTTTACCGCCATTCTCCGAATAGCAATCCTGTCAATATACAAGGAAGTACGTGAATAATATTAATGCGTGACTATTCCCACGACTCGTGTAAATGAATATTAGTTCTACGTCAAATTTTGAATTGAAAATTAATTTATAAAAAACTAGGAAGTATGATATCTAAAACGCAATATACTTAATCATAATAGTCTACGCTATTTTCTACTTCCTTGTTTAAGTGGTGAACTTTGACACTGCATTATCCTAGAATCAGTATATATATTACAGTTACATATATACATTTATTATTAATAATATTATATCTCATAAATATTCATTTTAAATAAAATAACTTACGAAAGTTGACATGTCAATTGGTCTTTGTGGTGGAGTAATAGTTACAAAGCTTCCATTGGTGTTATTTTCATTCGGTGCATCCAAAGTCAAATTGTAAGTATTAATTTTTGAATCATCGCAATAACATGAAGCCTGAATGACATAGGATTGGTTGTTAGCTATACGTAGACATAGATAGAATACACGGAAATAACAGTAACGTTGTGGCATCATTGTAATGGTGGAATGGAGTACAATACTAACTCAACACATATTCATATAATGCAGTTCGCAAACGTTCATTACTTGTGATTTGTTTCAAAAGACCTTCCTGCTCTGATATAAAAACACCTAGTTTTGGTTTTAGCGCGATTTTGCAGTTATTTTATGCACCGCGTCCAAATAATAAGAAAGCCAGCTCATGAAATCCAAACATCATATCCAATTTACTTCAAATAAAGTTAGCTATTGCGAATGGTACCTAATGAAAGCCATTTTTTATGTCCCCAGAAAGAAGTATATAATATATTATAGTGAAGCCAATTTATACTTTTTAATAACAATTTAAAATATCAACCTTGCTGTTGGGATCATCTGGTGAGCATTCCACCTTGTATAAATACATGAGCATGTCTCCGTGCGATGTTCTCAATGGATAGGACAGGGAAGTATCGACAACAGGGATGTTACTGTAACCAGATCCTCGTATCTAAAATATATAACGAAAGGTAAATTTAGAATATTCTCAACTTTGTACGACGAAGCAAAATGCAATAATATATTCAGATTTCTAACTGGGCTCACGCACCTCCATGGCAATTAAAATATCAGAAGCGTTTCCTCCAATTTCAGTTATCGAAGTGATGTTAGATTCTGCAGTGGTGTAATTGAATGATATTTCGGATTCTTCACCTCTGCAAAACATAATACATATATATAGCATAATGACTATGCAGGGCGATACATTACGACAACGAAGTAAATAAATAAGTTCAAAATTGAAACTAATAAATTTAAATACGAGGTATCTTACTCTTTCAATGAGACATCTGATTTGTATTTTATTCGAGGTGACTGGGCCCAGGTGTTGTCCTTTGAATTCTTTTCTATCGAAGAACTTGAAGAATCACTGAAAAATACCAATATTTGATTTTTATTCCTTTATGTATTTGATTTTTTTTGGAGAAACTGGTTAATTGTACCAGGATTTATCTGTATAAGTCAGATGCATACTACAAATATAAAAAAATGAATGAATTTTTGCATATAATAGAATGATCAATAATAATAGTTATTGACATTCTTTAACACAATTTAGGGATATAGTTGGAGTATATACAAGTACGTAATTCTGTATATTCTCATATATATTCATCGATCACAGTATGATTGCGATATACGTCGCAACCTCATGCTGCCAAATTTGGTTCCGTTTTTGTAAAATTTCCAGAAAAAAAAGCATTTGTATTCTGTTTACCTTGTGTATGCTGTGACGTCAACTGTAAAAGTTTCTAATGTTCCATTGTTTCTCAAGTTTTCTGTGATCAGATTGAATTCAAAATAGCACTGAAACATAAAAGTATGATGTCAGTATTCTGCTTCATCAATGGTGAGAGGAAAACACCGACCTCTTCAGTATTTGTGTAAATTAGTAATTTTTGCTTTTGTGCACTTTGCAACACGTACATCATTTTTATACCTATAGCTGGTCAAAAAAAATCAGACATGATTGTGACGGACCAAGCCATTACTCGGTTGGTATCGACTGAATTAACACACAACTCGACTCAGACCAGGTACTTTAATTTAACAAATAGACTCGATATATGAGGGGAATCTGGTACAGAGTACCGAATAAATGTGTTATGAGTGATTTAACCTACTCAGACAGCTACGGCTCACTTAGGTCACACAACCAATCGAGTCAGTACATTATACACAGGGGAAAATATTTCCTAAACACCTACCCATGCATTTTGTCGCATGATGTTTGTCTTATAGTTGTATCGAAGAATTTGTTCTTTCAATCCGTTTCCAATATCTACTGGATCAGTGTCTTCAACCATGCACGAATTTGATGGAGGATTTGCTATTCGATTGACCAACTAGAATTGAAATAGTAAGTGTTAACAAAAATGTTATAGTCTAACTATGTCATTAAGCATACCCGTGGACCCCTCCAAATTTACTGGGTAAATTGCAAAACTTTAAACAGAATAACGGAAATATTAAAAGAATTCATAGGCTCGAGTAGGTGAAGATGTCTTGGTGGGAATATATAATTTATAACACCTACAATTTTCAGACTATATCGAGTAAAATTTCTTACCGTGCTCAAACTGATTTGTGATGTGTAAGTAACTTTTATTCGAGTATCGAAAGCATTTTCGCCATTGTTAGTCAAGTTAACTTTCACGGTTACAGGAACTGATGCTGTTTTTTGGTCAACAACCAAAACTTTTCCACCGTCTGTCAGATCTTTACCACTACGGAAAAAGATTTAGTAGGTTTACAGATGTACCAATTTATGGAATAAAATATTGTCTACCAAGTGACTGCGTATACCAGGTTCTTGCCGCAACCTCTTGCAATAACCCCAGGAATATTTGTAAATAATCAAAAATACAACAAGGACGGCCACTCAGGCCACATATCTTATTGCTCATGCTAGATAAGTATGGCATATTGTCCCAACTTATTTAACCTACTATTGAGTAGATAAATTAATATGAGAATGATGACACATCCTCTGAGTCATTTTTTTTGAAATTTTCGACCTCGTTGTATTATTAGTAGGGTATGTTGTAAAGTACATACTCAGCTGTGCTATATGGTGGCAGTTTCAAACTGGCATCGATTTTTAGATCATATTCACATTTTCCTTCATCTCCACATTTCTTTGCAAAATTCAGGACATCTTGTTTAATATTTGGTTTGTTTCTAAATTTAAAAATATATTCTGGTTACAATAATGAATACAAGGACGAAAAATTTCATTTTTAGTGGGCAATCGATAATTTAAAACCATGAGAAAAGTGTAAAAAGTTTGAAATCCTCCACAAACCAAATATTTATATTTATACTACATCAAAATCTAATGATATTGTGGACAAAACTTGAACGGAAAAAAGGTCGTTTTGAAATCATATATCTGAAATGAGACCTAAATTTTTAACTGTGAAAAAAATACTCACGGATCTCGAACTGAAGAAAGAGGTTTGTCGGTGTGAGAAGACAAGAGGTCGAATTTTACTTCAGCTTTGATTGGGGAATCGTAATCTTTAATATTCGACTGAACAGAAAATATAAATATTATACTACTTGCCATCATAGCATCATTTCTACATCTCATTGCAGTAGATTCATTCATTGGTGAGGAGAATTAAGATATTATTAAGGGTTTCATTGTACTCAAATATATTTTGAAACAAAAAATGCAGATATCCGTCACCATCACAAATTACGATTATTTTACACCATAACGATGTTCGATATAGGTATGAAATATCGCACTTTTTGATGCTGCCATAATCACGAAATGATTATTTCATTAGTTAGTGTTTTAATTTAGTTATCAAAAGTCATTGGTAATTGAGTAACCATCATTTTATAAATCATTCTTCATACGATTGATGCTTGATCAAAACAATACGAGTGACATATTTAATAATACCTTCATATGAACTGATTTAGTCACACACTGCTTGTTGTCTCGCGCAAGTTGTATTGGTTCGGTCCATGTTGGTTGTCCGGGAACAGCAAGATTAGAACTTGAACGGAATTCTAAACGTTTGTCAGCACCGACTTTGTCAACATCCAACGTCAGATTAAAAGTCATGCCTGTGGAAAAAATTCTTTGAAATTTTTTCTTCTTTTTTAAAACAAGATTGCCAGGCATGTTTTTTTTTATTCGACGGGATATTGATATGATGTATAACTGGTAATATACAAATTATCGTATTGTTGTGTGATGATGTTTCATATTTCCGTTCTGTTTTTTTTTTTAATTGAAACTATCTACAACATGCGTTGACCATGGTGATTTACCCCCAAAACTCAGGAATTCGTGGAAACTAAATGGATGCAATTGCATACTTTTTGGCATAAGAAATCATAAAATGTAATTTGAAAATAGTTCGATATAAATTAAATAGATCATCAGCAAGGATGCGATACTCTGATATAATAAGTGAACAATTTGAAATGTACTTATTAAGAGATCAATATTAACGTTATTGAAACTTACCAACTGTGTCTTCAACTGTAACTCCAGTAGCAGTAAAACAAACTTCTATTGAAGAACAATTCTGATAGTTTTTGTCAATGCATTCGAAAATGTCAATAACCTTGGACTTGTATTTAATCGTGGCTTCAATATTTACAACGGGCCGTGATCTGAACGTAAATGTATAGCATTAAATCTTTGTGACGTTTTGAAATGGGGATTACATTAAATAACGTGACGGTCGATATTTTAAAGTTTAACAATTCCCATCCAGAAAATATCTTCCGTATTCATGAACTATAGATTTCGCTTACAATTTCCAAGTAATGATACCTGAAAATAACAACTGTGTCGCTTTTTGGTGCGCCAACGGCAATATCCGGATACTTGTTTCCGTCCAGATCTACACCGCCTTGCAAAGATTGTCCAAAATATTTGAGCTGGACTCCGGTCAATTCTGATGCCAAGATTTTCTGCAGAAATATTATATCATGAATAATGAATAATTAGTATTGGTAAGACGACTTGTCTCCGCGTCGCCAACTCATGGTAATCGTTACATTGTAAAGGGCGTTGTTGTATTTATACTGTGACAGGACGAAAGCTTGCATGAATTAACAATATTTGTAGGCTATATAAGATTGGATGGGGAAATAATCAGATGAATCTTGGCGTGTATTCGTTTCTGTAATTAATTTGGATTGTTTCGCTATTTGATGAGAAACCTCTTGTAACCTCCCGCATTATATATTAATTCAACCAACCTGTTTTGCGTTTACATCAACACCATTTGCGTTTCCATGGTAGACAAAGACTGCACCGCGGTCACCTTCCGTGAGCGGAGCTCCAACGATGACGTCATTATATCCGTCCATATTCAAATCTCCAGCACTTGCCATGGCAGTTCCGAATCTTCCACCAATCAAATGTTGTCCAAACAATTCTAGAGGCTTAAAGTTGTCATCAGCCTAAGAATTACAAAAAATATTTGGTTTCCTAATATATTTTTACCAGATGCACTCTGTAGTAAAATAAAGCTATCATGGTATTTGTGTAAAAGTGTCAAACTGAGAATTCTTACCCAGGTTTTCAGAGTATTGCTGGGTTGACTGACATACACAAACACTCTTCCCTCGTCGTAATTATCACCAACATACAATGGTGCACCAATTAATAAGTCGTCTTTGCCATCATTGTTTACGTCAGTTGTTAAGACGCTCCCGCCAAAATACGCCCCCAGTTGACGAGTGTTTGGGTGTCCCATCAATGTGACGTGGTCATGAAATTGAGCGTTGCCATTTTCGGGTCGATAGACAACCACCTACGACAACAAAATATCATGTTTATGAAACCATGCCAAGTAAAATTAACATTGTTAACTTTTGGTAACTTATTTCTATTGTTCAAATTGATTTCATACAGTTCAGAATAGTCTCTAAGTGAATGTACATAATTCTAATTTGATTAATTGACATCAAACGTCATATTTCAAGTTTCTAATTATAATACCGATTACGTTGAAACTTTAAGGGAACTTTTGTGGCATTTTAACAGCATTAAAATAATGCCAAAATCGTGATAGGATGATATCATTTCCCAGTAATTACATAAAATACTGAAACAAAAAAGGTCGCGAGCGTGCAAAAGAGACCAAAACGTGCAGACAAGTGATTCATGGTAAACACGACTGAAACTGAATTTAAAACGAGATTTGCAATAATCAATATTTTGAATAAGCGTGAACGCAGCTTCGCAATATATGAATTTATGACCTGAAAACGCTCGTTTTGATTTAAGTAATGTCTCAAAATTATTGAGATGTTGAAACTTATCGCTTCAAAAATACATCACATACATAACAAAGAACTTACAGCTCCCATGAGCATATATCTTGGTGCTCCGGCCGCGACATACTCATTTGACCCGCTTTCAAAAAATCCAGTGATCACGGAATAACCTGTAATGATCAAAAATAAGGTTAATACATAAATTCTTTTAATGTAGTATAATAAATAATAGATATTGAACAAGAATGGGAATACACGTTATTTTCTAATCAATAATTTGAAACGAAAATAGTATCGGGAACTTTTCTATTTTAATTGATCTTTTAATTGATTCTTATTCTTCTTACTGGCACAAAGTTAAATATATGACTAACGAATAATGCAACGATAGTGTTAGATATAAATATTTAGAATTACTTGGTTTAGTCAGACACGGAAATGAGATTGATTTCATCTAAATATAATCATAGGATGTTTATCGGATTGCGTCATCAAATATATATAATCACTATTCCACTTACCGAGATATGACTCCTTTGTTCTATTTGGAAGTACTTTTTGCACGTCCTTGTATTTTGGAATATCAGGTGTGTCAGCGTCGACGGTATCATATTTTGTGATTGTACCAGACCAATCATAAGCTCCCACTGCACCAAGATAGAGTCGTCCGTTCTGTTTTACGATAACAAATTAAAAAACAAATTTAGAAAACGATGTTTAAAAGTTAAAGTGAGCACAAAATATAAAATTTGAGCACTGTATTGCAATAACCACCTTCATCAAACACAATCAAACAAACACTCATTCTCTCACACACTCATGCAGCAGCGATGCGGTTGCGTTATGCGGCGCGGAGTAAACACGACTGTACAATGAAGAATGTTTTATTGGCAAAAAAGGTACACTTTTAAGGTAAAATTTGACTGGGCAGTTTTATGTTCTTCTTCTTTCTTCATAACGTAGAAAATTAAAAATGGTACTTACTTTTATGTCTCGGTGAGGGTAAAATAAAACAGCTGAAAAATAAATATAAAATACTCAGCGTACATATAAACACTGATGCTTATTTGGAATAGGGGCATACGTAAAGATTAATTTCAAATCATTTTTAAATTTTAGCTCAACAAATTACTGATTAAACTGCCTATTATTCCTAAATAATGTAATGTATATTTCTCCAAAAATAATTGATGGAGTAATTTTAAAAACTATCTAATGTATTAACGACTATTCCGAGTATTATCTTTTATAATTTTTAAACGCCAAATATAGTACTGAAATATTGAAGAAAATATCCTTTTTAGTAATGAAATACTAAATGCTCACCTGATAAGTAAAATAAGCTTTGTTACTCCGACATCATCACGGGGTCTTTCATATTTCAAGATGGCGCAACCCACAACCGCTCTTCATGAAAGCCTGTTTCAAACTGATGTCGCAAATAAATCTCAGCCGTATGAAAGCTGAGGGACGTGACGCACTTCCGGCGTGCACAATGCACATACACGAGACAAACCTGCCAAAGAGGAGGCCAATCCATAAAAGGCAAACGCATGTCATGTACTTATCGTTTGCTACAGCGCAAAATGATGAAGAACGCCTAGCCAGAAACGTGATGACATTTAATCGAAAGAATATGAAATAATATACTATTGAGTCATCCATGTTGTACCTTTTCTTACTTTGTAATATGTGTCGACTATACAAGTAGGACATATGAAGAACATGACGAATTCGTGTGTCATCGTTATGTTCTCATAAACTAAGTAATAAAAACCTGGCAACGCTTTTGAATAGTAGATGTGCAAGCGATATAATTGAGAACATAACAAGAAATATATATTGAAATACACCTCTACAGTTGTTTTTAGATTGTTCATCATATTTTCTATTATCCTGCTTTTTGAACTCCCCCCTCAACTTGAAATTCAGCACCGTCAAACTATTCGCCCATATAGCATTGGTGCGTACACACACGCTGTTTTATACCATATTTTTTATTTGCAATATCCGATTTATATGAATTGATATTAGTTCGTCTTTCATCGAATTTCGAAGTTTTCATTCAACATTCACTATCTACATTAATTAAACAATTGATTATCAGATCATTTTAAGGGTATTCTGCGCTTTTTATCAGAAATTTCCACTATTGTTAAAAGAATTCTTTTATTAATATAAGACAACAATAATTCAAAAACGCGAAAAACGTACATCGTATTGTACCTTAAAGTTACTACTAATTATGTTGGGTGTTTCTACCAGTCCATCAATAAAATCGCGCAATATAAAACTGAATTATGAATATGAGTTACTCATAGACTATTACTTGTATACATTGTAGCCAAAATGCTATATCGTAGATTTAAAGTTGACACAAGTATTCGAAAAAGAACCAATTTTAAATGTGAATGTTTTTGGAATATTTCGGACATCACCACTGGAGGCGCTATGGCACTGGCTCATTTCTACTGTGCGATTTTGCTACAGACAGTATTATCAAATGTAAAATATAGTCGCGTTCCCTGACTTCTAGTACCTTGAAATCTTACGATTTGCCGTAACTCTTGGTCTCTTCTGTATTATGATAGGATGGGCATTTATAAAGTTTTATCCTATTCAGGTAGGATTGTTTTAGTATCCCAACATTATGTGTTTAGGCCATATTTCCCAATTACCAAATTTACACGATCCACAATGCCACACTACAATTGGTAACGGCGTGGGTCGCAATGGTTCAGAAATAGCAGTCATAATTGAAACAAACTTCTTCATCAGTATTGTTGCCTTGATAACCGAGCAGATAACATATAAATATTCGTATATACCAGAGATAGGAAATATACATAAAAGTCTTTCCAAGAGGAAGAAACAAAAACAGAAAAAACGTAACTTGTAAAATGGGGTACACGATTAAAGTTCGGGGACCTTCACTAATAGGTGTTGTGGGGATTAAATTTTAGCAGCTGACGGAGCCATACGATTGTGTCATTTACGAACCTTAAAGCCATATTCAAGTCTGCAAATATCGGATTATATACGGACTTGATGTCATGCTACATATTCCGTTGTCATGAGAAAGCAACATATGACATCCATGTCGCTAACCACGAATGGAAACCAGAATGGTTTTCTTGGTGTATTATTAGATACAATCAATTCATATTGTTGACAAAATAAAACAGTTTTCTTGTTTTAGAATTCAATTGTTTTACAAGGCATGATGCCATAATCTGATGTGATTAAAAGACATTTGTTTTACATAAAATACAAAATTGCAGTTATATGCAAAATAACGATGCAAATCAATCATAATTTATTGAGAAGATGGAGAATGTCTACCTTCGCGTCCATTGTTTTCCCGGAAATACAATGCTGATGATTTCTAAAGCGAATTTGGCATTGAAATAACAAGTGCTTTTAAGAACATTTTTGATATCGTCATCGGGTGTATTGTTACTGCACGGCCTGTGTCGAAACAGCTGTAGAGGGATTGTCGGAGTCAGGAACCTCAGATATGGTTGAATCTTGGTTCCTAAAACATGTTGTGCTTCACTTATCTCTTTGTTAGAACATCTGGCGCACACTTTTCCAACTTGTACCATACTTGCCCCAGTTGACGAAAACTTTTCCTGTACTGTTGGAGTAGGCCAACCAGTTAACTAGCAGATGTGAAAGAGAGGTTCACAATCTAGGTTGTACTTTTTGATTTAATTAATAATGTGATTGACTCGAGCAAACACTTTACATCAGCTTCATTTGGAAAGCGCATGTAACGCAAGCATATTTAGCAACAACTCATATTTGATTACAAGTTAATAGGGCAATGCTCCAATATAATGCCATACAAGGAAAAGTCACGTCAGATCAGTTGTGTTTAGTCCTTGATGCTGGGCAAAGATGTTACAGTAGCCACAAACTATATATGCGAAATGCGATGCCATTTTAATAGAATTTATTTCAGTCTCCTCAAGTGTTGCATCACAAATTTTAGGTCTACTTATGTCTGACAAAAACAATTTTAATCTGTTCTTTAAGTGTCCAAATTGGCGTTGATTACAAAATATTCTCAATGGGAAATAGAAACCGCCAATTTATTGCCTTTGTTGAATAGATTTATGTTCATATTTGGACGTTCTATTTTTGATTTTATTGCCCACAGCAGAGGTCTAAATCAAACGAAAATGATTGGGAGAAAAATAGAATATTAATACAAGTTAATTAAGACGATATACGAATATTTTTAATACTAAAACTTCGAAATAGATTTCACCCAAAGCCGATCCTCCGTTTTATATTGTAATATGCAATGTTACTCATGTGATGTCCATGATCAAGTATGATCATATTATGACTAATAATTAATGACACGTGAGCTTGTGAAATTGACTCGATTGAAAATATATGACCTCATTGGCGACGGATCTTATATGCCAATAAGCCTATTCATAAATTGAACAAGGTTTAGAAAAGTTAAATGAAGGAATCGCTCTTTCCGCACTCCAAGCGTGCTTATGCAAATGTAAAATCAGTTGGTTGCGTGCCTGAGAGGAATTATTAGTCAGAAGTGTCTTGGGGTGACATACTTTGTTTACAACGGGGAACGATTTTCTTGGTGTTATCATTGATTTGTTAATTTCAGTCGGCGTAGGTATAATTAACATGTGATTTAGTCTGGTTATATACAATGAGGTTACTTTTCAAAATGATCCAAGTTTTCCAAGTCTCAGTCAATAAATTTTATGTGATTACCAGGTTATTTATTCCTACAACCGACGTGTACAACTCCGAGAGGGGGCGGTATATTTTGCAATATTAGTAATTGTCTTATTGACACTCCCCTGGAATCGGTACTCCCGAAGTATGTGAACCAAGATGGCGGACACCGGAACGTAGTATGTGTACCAGGTTAGGGTTAGGCCATAAATTCCAGGTACAAATACTACAGGTGTCACTTGGCTAGTCTCCAAACGCGTAATAGATCTAAAATAAAGAAAATTGGAATAAAATTATGACCTAACTCTAACCTGGTACACATACTACGTTCCGGTGTCCGCCATCTTGGTTCACATACTTCGAGAGTACCATGGAATCAATGTAAAAAAATGCTTACTAATAAATTAATAGTCCAAATATTATTTATAATTAAAAAGCCATTTACTTACTGACTTAGTGTTACAACATTTATGAAAACTCAATAATTAGAAAATTAATTTTTTTTATTTACGTTTGGTTGTTATACTAGATTACATCTGTGTTTAACTTGACATATTTTCTGAATAAGAAAAATGAATTACAATTCTCGTTTCACAGATGAGTAGGCTGTGAAAGGCAAATGCGATTACATTTAGTTTTCGCGTGACATATATCTAAAAAGTACGAAATCATTACAGGTACAGATTTCAGTCGCGACAAATTTTATGTAAAAACTTTTAATTTTACCAGAATAGTAAACAAAAAAAGTTAAACTGTATATTTGTCATATTTTATAAAGTGATAAAATATTGCTCACTAGTGCCGATTGTATATACGATATACTTAATTTTTGTGAAATATACTAATTTCAATATATTAACTAAGTACATTTTGTATATATAGTGTAGATTAGAGTACGTCCGTGTGTTCTGAAAATCGGGAATACCTCTTACCATTGGATTATGACTCTGTGTATCAGCAATCACTGTGAATTACCAAAAATTGCCTCTTTAAAATGGCGGACAATATGCTTTGGAACTTTAATATGTTCCTTTTTAAAAGTGAACTGTTACAATATAGATTGTTCATGGAATCATACAATACTGCTAAAGTCAAATTCAACCCAGAATGTTTCTTCTTACTTCGGAAATTCTTTTACATTAAACAGAGATTACTTTAGAGAGAAAGAAAACAAATCATTTTCAAGGTAAATGTGAATATATATAATATCATGTCGAGTTGGGGCAGGGGAGCCACTGAGAACCAAAACTATAGTTAACGAGCAGCAACAACAGATGTTCTAATACCTATCATAAAAAATTGGGAATTTTTGAAACCACTAAAATAGACGGTGAGTACCGTTCAGCAAAATATCCAATTAACATCGTCCAATAGAAATGTAGATGATATTGAAGAGCCAATGAGGTCAAGAGGTGGACAGGGAATACCCCACTTTACCTGGATTACTCGAAGCAAAAGCGATGTCATGAAAATCTGGGGAATTGCGAAGGTGACTTAGCCATTCACGTGGTTACAATGTGATGTGTGAGGCGATATTCATCGATGGAGAACATATCCGAGCAGATAAAGTTGACTCAATTGATATTCCAGACTCTAGCTTTTGTAAACTGATTGCATGGACAAATAGCTTTTTAAATACAAAAAAACTGTTCATTTTTGTGTCACTTATTTTTGATAATACTGATGCAATTAATATTTAGTTAATGAGTTTTAAATAAATTTAAACGTCAATATTTTTTTTCAGAATATTAATTGGGTCTCCAAAAGAGAAACCATCATATACCGGTGATACATTATCGAACGGAAATACAGTTCATGAATGTCGTGAGTTAGTTATATTTATTTGCTAACAAGAACTTTTTCACGTACATACTACCCATCTATAAAACTGTCGGCTACATTTCGAATATAATTCTAAAGGAAACGATTACAAGAACCCATTCCAGAAAGGAAAGCTAATAATAAAAAGTAAAATCATGAGTGACCACTAACTTGCCAGAACGCAAAAAATTTTTGAACGGTTTTATGCTGAAATAACCCTTCACAATTTAATAACGACCTAAATATAATCATAGTTCAAAAGTGGATGACCAGGCCATAAGGTTTCAGCCTATAGGCTGAAGGTATACCTTGCCTAATGACCAATCCAAACCTGCTTATATGTATCACCTATAATATTTTGCAATACTAAACTTATTTTATACGTGTTCTTTATGCAGTTGTCATACTCGAAGGAGGTAGGAACGGCAGAGTACCTGACTATGTAAATTGCACGCGTGTGTCCGCATTTACCAAAGCTTATCGACAGCAAGATCTCTATTCAGAAATCGCCAATGATGCAACAGGGTGGTCAATATCTACCCAGCGAATGGCTTTGGATGTACCATCTGGCACGCCTAATTGGGTCGATACGGTACGGTACTTATTTTATTTGGGTTTACAATAAGCTAACAATTTTAGTTACACGAGAATTGTTTGAAAATGGAGAAGACTTTTTGTTTCTTTCTTTTATTTTTTTGATGGAATATAAAGAAATATTGGTGTTACTTTGGTATGCGATCTCATTGGTTGTGTGATCTTAGTGATTGTATAGGGATTGGGGTTAGGAATTGAATTCTATATAAGAATGTCTTGATTAGATTAATCGCATACCAACGTGACAAATAGTGAGATCACGTTAGGCAAATGAGATCGCTTTTTGAGTGGCAACATAATATTATTTCTGCTGAAACATCGCTGGAAATTGGCCAGTTACACAAACTCCACTGAGAATACTGCTATTCTTGTTTTGGGGATAAATTAATAAAGATTCCTTCTAATGCCATCTCCTAATCGTTCATCCTTGTATCCAATCGTTCACTACCCTTAGTGAATCTTCTTCTTTACTACATTTTGTTCATTTATGCTAGACACTTTTGCTAACTTCTTTCTAGACTGAGTAAAATAAAAATAAAATTTTTTTATATTGTCAAGATATGCAGACCTCTACATATGCATCGCTGTGGAAATTCTTACAAACTGGAAGGCGGATGTTTCTTGTCGGGATTGTCGTCGAATACAAGAAACACGTCATTTCATCATAAATCTGAAGAAACTTTATCGATTCCTAAATCGTTAGATGAAACTTATGAGACCGAAAATCTAAAATCAACATGGAAAATAAGAAGTCCGTGCCAAACAGGTGATTTTATCAAATCAGATATTGTATAAAGGTTTATCACTACTATTGTTTGCTGCAAAGGTTGCTCGATCTCAATTCAATACTTGATTACTAGTAGGAAATGCAAAAACGTGCTTTCAAACTAAACTTTTTGAAATTCTAGATATATTTGATTTATTCTGACAAATAGAATTCGATACCAATCTTTGACAAAAAGGAAGGATTTGAAAACAGTAATAAATCCATAAGTAAATACCAGTCAGTTTTAAAACTTATATTTGGAAGATTTTTGATTCTACGTTGACGAATGATTCTTCTATCTGTGAGTCCGATATGTTATAAAATGTGATTCCGCGAATCATGGCTAATTATAATAAGACAAACTTTACTTTATGATGTAAACATCCCAATTCTACCAATATTAAATAATATTTCTTTTCTCAGGATGTGATTCGTTTACTGACATTGACCTGATGTTTGTTATCGATGGCTCAGCATCAATAAAAGATGATAATTTTGCTCTCATGCTTGACTGGATTAAAAATGTTTCAAAGGGATTCGACATATCCGAACCAGTCAGAATAGGCGTCGTAAGTTTTTTGGTCACTTGGTGGCAATTAAGATGCATTAATTATAAAAGGGTTCAGTGCAGCTAGATGTACGGTCATATTGCTTACAAGTAAGTAAGTTTATTTCGATTTTCCGTTACAACAAAACAAAGAAGAAATATAAGGCAAAACAAACAAATAGACGAAAAATCAGCAAAGTAGGCGGAATCTAAAAATATTTAAGACGTTCTCACTTACCCCATTAATATCCTACAGGTTCAATATTCTCACTGGAGCCCAATGGATGATTTAAACAACCAACGTTTGATAAAAACAGAAATTGGACTGGGGCAGTACAGAAACGAAACTGCCTTTGACAACGCGGTCAACAACATAAAGGTATGGGGTGAACTAAAACGTTACAGCATAATCATGTCATATGGCAGTACGCTAAAAATAGTTAATTTGTAATCAAGTATGTACCAAACTTTTTCGTTATGTAACTCATGAAAGTATTTAACCGTAAGTGTAATTTTTATGATTTTCTGTCACTTGTATCTGAGTGCTTCTTATTTTGATTATAGTCTATTTTTTAGTAAATACTTAAGAATGTGTATATGTGGTATTCCATTTTCACTAGTCCGTACTTTTACAATTATCGAAACGTTTCACTTCAGTATCAAAGATCATCAACGTACACAGCACACGCAATTAATAAGACAGTATTGTATGATTTCAAAGGATCTAATAACAGATATCCGGAGGCTGGTAGAGTCATGATCTTGCTCACCGATGGAAAGTCTACTGATGGAGAGTAAGATATATCACAATTTTGTTTTTATCATACTCTACCATGAATATGCCTGCTACCCCATGTAGACACGTATTACGGGATTACTGGGATTTATACAATTCTCTTTTTTGGACGCTCCGACCCTTGACCCCTGAAAGATTCTCACATCATTGTGCAATATCTTCAACACTGATTTTCGAGTGTTTTGGAGAGTTGGCTCTTACAAATTGGCTCACATGTTAAAAACTATCATTTTCATTCAAAGCAATAAACCACGTGCCGCTTATAGGTACTGATAGCTAATTTTAGACTAATCTATCGCAGCGTTTGCGGTATCAATTTTTGATTATTGTAACTAAACTAAAGGTCGTGAGACATAATGACAATTAGGTTATTTGATTTACAACAATATTTTGGATAAATAACCATAAACAGACGAATAACATGCAAAACTACCAAAAAGAGGCAATGTTTACAACTACGCTTGAATATTTGTCCAAGCGAAAGAAGTATAGTAAGCTGCGGCATATATTCCAATTGTTACATCATTGTAAAGTTATTGCTGATTTGCAATTGTTACGGAAATGGAAAAGGAAATCGATGCTCGGGGAAACATCCATAGTATATACGCTATGTATAGTCGGAGTTGATTTTGCTAGTTTATACCTCTGAAATTTTCTGAACTCAGGAGTCAATTTAGGATTCAAATATTTTTTTCAAATATATTCTCTCTCTCTCTTTCTGAAGCCTAATTTTGAATCTTCTCAAATCGTGATTAGGAGTCGAGATTCCCAACTGAAGCCAAATAAAGCTTGCCAGTATCGAGTTTCCCGGCTAAAATGTGGTGTCGGTAACAAACTGATATGAATCCAAATGTTTTATATAGAGTCGATAATTTCGGAAATGAGTAAAAGAGGAAGTGATCGGAGTTGGGAAGAGATGACTCTGACTCTAAAAAGCCCAGCTCAAAATCTTAGTCGGGGTAGTCACCACGAGAAATGTCATTGGGACGGGTCACGGCCCTACTCAGAATACCATTCGTTGCATGAGTCAAGTCAAGTTATTTAACTAACCTGATAAAGCAGGGGTGGGCAAGATTTTTGAACCAGGGGACAAAAATATTGCCCACCTAGACTGGCGGGCCATGTAAGTGTGACGTAATAATTTAGCTATCAATCTTCAAGAATTAGGGTTCAGAAAAGGAATGCAACAAATTATTCAAAACCATCGGTAAACGATACACTAAATTACATGACAATAATGCGTAAACTATGATCAAATAAGAACGTTAAGAGAGCGTTATGGGAACGTTAACAAAACGGGCCAGATTGAATCCCCCAACGAGCCGGATTTGACCCACGGGCCATACTTTACCAAGGTCAGGGATAGAGTGTAGTCTAGTTAAATAACTTTTGGAATTTAGAACTCTAAATATCTCTCACTCGATAGTTAACATTGTCAAAAATAATCATTTCGAGTATTCCATTTTAACAGATTGTTGCCATATAGTGCTCGTTTTGCAGCTGAGGAAGGTGTAATTTCTTATGCTGTTGGTGTTGGACATGCATTTGACCCGACTGAACTGCTTTTGATAGCTGGAACAAAAAGTAGAGTGTTTGAGGTAGCAAAATTTAGTGCATTGGACAATATTGTCAAAGGACTTCAACAGAGTATTACTCAATCACTGGAGGGTATGTTCACGTGCTTGATAACTGGTGTTAGACAACAATTTACAATGATTTAACTATTGAAGTTTTAGCATAGTAACCGATGATCGGCTCAGTAAAAGTAAATCTGAAAATCATTATCTAATTTTAATCGTAATAACGAGAAAGTGCTTGAAAGAATACATGAAAAGTGGTAATGATTTTATCTTTTACTGGCTTTTTAAGGTCGCAGGCTAATACCTATAATCGCCAATCGCCTCGCATTACATATTGCTGTTTATTTTATTCCGATTTTTCCTGTTTTAGTTATATTACGAGTTCGAGTACTGTCTGTGTTATCCAAGTGAATATATCCCTTGCCCATAGGTTTCAGTCCCAGTCCCAAGTAGGCGAGCAAAATTAGGTACCTCCATATTGGTACATACACTTTTGAAGCGCTCAAAATTCATTCGTAAATTTTACCGGATATCACAAATAATTTTTAAAAATTTTTATCGCAATCTTTTGTGATATTTACTAAAGGTAACCAGTAAATTTACATTCAAAATTTGGTGAATTCGCATTCAAAATTTAGCGAAAATCACCATAAACATCCAGGCATTACACTTTACAAAACGGATCAGTAAATATCAAAGACTATTTCATGTAACAAGGTTTATTTACAAATATAAATGTGAACGTAAAATGAATAATAAGCCTTTAAAATTTAAAAATTAGAAACGCGAGGTAGGCAAAACTCCCTCGAAAGTTTATGTTTGCCCTTTCACACAGTCACTCCAAACAAATAGACAGCCATATACAGCGAAATTCGCCTTATATATAATTATATATAACGTCTTCAAATAGCCATCATATGCCAGCCTTTAGTATGACACAATTAATAAAGATTATATATATTGTTTATAATATTGATACTAATCACGCATGCCAGCCTCTTTTTCGTGGTAATTTCCTCATCTACTTCCGCATAATCAAATTTGCTCATTTTAAATATTCAGGTGAGCCTACGAACAGAACGAATGAATTAATCCACTGCGAAGCGGGTTTTTCCTCCGTACTTACCAAGGCAAGTCGAAATATTCATTGTACTATAAAATATACTATAACGAATTGTGGTGAGAATGTGTAGTTCTGTTTTATCCAGTATGGTGTGGAAGAGGGAGATGCGCTCTTTACTAGGTTAAAATAATATGAGTGGGAGTGTTAGTGTGTGATCGTATGAGCAGCATCATGTTCGCTTAATGGTCGTAGGCGCTCGTGACGTATAGGCGGTAGATGTTAAAGGCGTATACGTTTAGGCTATATTCAGTACGGTTATAAATAAGCCTGCCGGTTTTATACATTTCATTGCGGTATATGTATTAAAGAAGGCAGGTGGGTTGGGAACATAGGCGATATTTTTGTGTTATAGACTTTTTCGTATAGTTTATTCGGCGGTCCCGTAGTATGTGCAACAAGATGGCGGACACCTGAACATAGTATGTGTACCAGGTTAGGGTTACGCGGTAATTTTATTCCAATTTTCCTTATTTTAATTCTATTACGAGTTCGGGGACTAGCTAAGTGACTCCTGGTAGTATTCGTACCTGAAAGTATGGCCTAACCCTAACCTGATACACATACTACGTTCCGGTGTCCGCCATCTTGTTGCACATACTACGGGAGTACCGTTTATTCAGTACAAAAATCCATTCGGTGGCGGAGCGTAGCCAAAAGCAGAGTTTCATGGGGGCTCTAAAATTATACTCAATTAAATGCTTGTCGTGTCTCTTAAGTCATTTTATGGCATGTCTATCTTTCTTGATTCATGAACATGTACATTTATCTCTGTACTGTAAATGGAAAACTATCCAACTTTTTTGCGACTCGCATACATCGAGTACTTTGTCGCTATCTAGTAGAAATCTTTAGACTTTTATACATTAGGGATATCACTTGATATTCCATCAGATATCAGGTAATACGACGAGTTTATACGCATAGTAAAAAAAATACATTCTGAGTCAAAGATAATGTACTTTTGGTTTCTATATTCAGTAATTTGTTCAGGCACATCATAAACAGCAGTTAAATTTTCTTGCGATTAATTTTCCGTCAAACATAAACCGTATTTGATCCGACAATTAGCTAAGAAATTGCCTTCATAATACGACAAAACTATGTGTTCACGACCTGTAGCTGTATGGCGGTCAAAGGATGTACATCCTACTTACTGTTTTGATATAAGATACAGAAAGGATATAGAAAACAAACGTCATTTCCGTGCACAGTATACAACAGTGTATTGAATCTATATTAATAAAGAATATCGTAATGAGGGCACTTCAATATTGTTCCAAACATTGCTATACTATGAAAGTGTGATGGCCTATCAGGACACTGAGTTGACCTGACGACCTCTAATTAATCACGTAAGCATAGTTCTAAATTTGCTAACAGAGATGGGACCAATTTCAGGTCACGTTACTCGCAGATAAACATATACAATATTTTCATTATGTGGATATTATAATCTCATTATTTCAGCGAAGTGATTATACTACGCATGAAATGCGTTCTCTTTTTTAATACGTATATGAAAATAATTAGCCTTAGTTTGACGTCAAATCAATCTGGAGAGAATGACTCATCTAACTGAATCTTAGCATAGCATTAATTCTTTTGTTCATAGTTTGCATATTTTTGGTCGCACCTTCCAGTTATTGTTTGATATAACTATCAGTCATCTGATATATAACTATATAAATATGATTGATTTATCGCAAAAATATTTAATATCACTATTATTGAATCACGAGAGAAGTTCGGTAAAATCTGTAGTAGTAATTGCGCATTCCAGCACATTAGATTTGTCCAATATAACAGCTTTAGGTCAATAATTATTGGTCACATATTGTTGTCCTCCAAATCATTTTCAGAAGTTTTTTTTAATTGAAAGAGTCATCTATTATTCAGTTAACGACATTACCTATTGAATAATATCGAGGAGAATTTTCCTAAAATTGTAAGAGTATTGAAAATCTTGTCGGGTGGGAAATTGATTTTCATTTTATTGATGTAGTTTAGATAACTGACTATCATTACCAAATCCTAACGTAACATTCTATACGCACCAGCGCTTTTTTAAACTTTGGTCGAATTGAAATGATACAAATATGTCGTCATCGTCCGATATTGTGGAAATATCCAACAACTGGCAGACATACAGGATAACAAAGCGACATTAAAAACATAGTGGTATCTGTTTGTTGATTATCTCGTGGTAATATAAAATTAAGAACATAATGTTACGTGCCGGTTTGCTTATAATCTATATGTTGGATCGTTGAAATAGCGAAATGTTAAGTTCGTTATGTGCAGTATATAGCCTAGAAGTATTCTATTGAGAATAGATCAGAACTATCAAAAATTTGCTAAAAAAGCCATTTAAAATCCATATCAAAATTGATGTACCAGATTAAGATCGTTGTATTTAATCTCACATCTCAATAAAATGGTAAACGACAAAGAGACAGGGTATTGGACTAGTTAGACTAACGTTGAATTACTGCGAGATGCAATCCCGTGTATACACCACGGTAGAGTAAATAACTAGATTAACTCTCGAGGCACATGAAATTTCTGACGAAAGGACGTAAGTTGACCAATAGATATGATAACATCATAGCACGAGGCTATTGTTTAGCAGTAGAAGGAAGCAATCTCGGCCGATAATGGGCGAAAGGCATACTTCTATAATATAACATTGTTGTATTTTGTTAAAAATACTTTAAAAAGCGCGTTGCGTTATTGAAAATTGCGCCATATTAGTTTTACACACTGCAATACGTTATATCACAGGTATGGTCGTCATAATTTCAATGAGTCAGTGCAGTTACCGTCACATTTCCAGAAATTTGCTCACATCTGCATGGTAAGACCTATCATTAAAAAAATATTACCAGAGCATGTGAGTTTGTTTATATCTCACAAATTAGAGGAAGTACGCGCTTTAACTAAAGTTTACAGTGTTACACTATACCGTAGGATAGATACGCCTCGCGCAGAAAATTTTTACGAAATATATACGACAATTAGGAAAAGGGCAGACGTGATACCTGGTGGGTTGTTTTAATACGTTAGGAAGAGAAAATTATATTATACCAGTTTTTAGGAGCTAAGCCAGAAATGAGTTTTTCAAACTAATTACTGCTACCGTACATGTCCTGATTGAAACTTTACAAATTTATATTTAGAATTCTTATTTGCTTTCCACCGTACCGTGATCCCTAATAATGTCATCGACTGATAATATGACGCGACAGTCCTGTAAGTTTGTATTTTCACTGATATAACGAGTAAGTTGAAATTGTCAGAAAGTACACATTCGACATATATGAAATCCTCATTAGCATATTTTTCGAACAGCATTTGTTTTTGAGTGTGAGACTAAAACTTAATTATCCTCCAGTTGATAATTTTAACCGAGTTAAATCAGCTGATAGGCTAGTTTTACTGTCGTTGGACTCACTTTGCAAATACTTTTTCCATCCATGGTCTCGACCAAACTCTTTCAACAGTGGAACTAAGATATTCTTTCATACACGCACAACTAGCTTTTTCTTTATCTTTGCAACAGTAGTTTTTAATTTAATTTTGCAAATATGTTGGGGCGAACGATAGTTATTGCTGCTTTGTTTTGGAAGTATGCATCATCTTACAACATAGAAACTACAAAGACGTTCTCTTTGTATATGAGAGATGGCGGTGCCAGCAGTAGGACGACTGAAAAGGAACCTGCTTATGCTGGCTACACGTTCAACGTTAGGTTAGAAGATGAAAATGCGAGGTAACTATACCAGCAAATTGCAGTTTAAGATCTTTTTATCTTATCTAAGGTAAAACTTTATTTATACTATGTATGTATATATATATATATATATACCCTGTGTGCAGTGTAAAATAACAAGTACGTCAAGTCATGATATATATATATTTTATTTAAATTTGGTATTATCGTCATAAAGATTTATGCAAGACTCAAATAAAACATTCATAAATTTTGTTATCATTCAAAATTTGGCATTATGTCTATCCTTGAAAAGAGTTGATCAAATGGGTTAATTGTACCCAGGTTATGAATAACCACTATACGAGACTGGTACCACTAGTAACCACAATATGCGCTAGGCCTCACGTATATTCTATATTTTACCAAAAACGAGCAAAACTTACGTTTCTAGAATACTCGTTGGACAACCCCGTGCAGGTGTAGTTGATCAAGCTATATCCCCAGGAGCAATTTTTCTTTGCAACTTTACGTACGTTGGCGAGAATTTAGCAACGACAAGTCTAATGGCGGCTACTGAATCTATGACAACGTATGGTTCCAGCGAGTTCACAACAACAACCTTTGAAAGTACGGTAGCATTGAATACCACGTTTCATGATGAAAGTACGATGGCACCGGATACAACGTATCAAGAAACAGGGATGCCAGATACTACTTTAGGTATTATTGGACACGTACCGTGTTTCCCCGAAAATAAGACAGTGTCTTATTTCAATTTTCTTTTGAAAACTAACACTAGGGCTTATTTTCGGGGGATGTCTTTTATTTTCATTTATCAAAAACTAAATCACAAATTAGAGAATTACGAGATTTTTAAATATAAAAATTATGAAAACCGATATCAATTTACTTAAATAACACGTTTTCATCTCTCACACGTTTTAGATTAATCATTTAAAACGTGTTGGAGAGATTTCTTACTATCGACTAAGTCAGGGGTGGGCAACCCCTGGCACGCGTGCCGAACTTGGCACGCGAGCCCATTTATTCCACACGCAAGTGATGCCTCCAAAACGAGATAATTCTCCTTCACAAGAGTTTTAAGACACTTATCTGATGAAACTCTGTGTCCGTTTTTTTATTATTGTTTGTTAACAATCCAATATTTATTCAAATTATAAATTTATTAAATTATGTCGGTATTATGTTGCTGTTGTTTTTGTTCTTTGTGTTACTTTCTATCGTTATGAAAAGTTGCTTTTCCCTTTGTTTACTAGACCATTGTTTGAAATTTTCAGTGGGTACGGTACTAGTAAGTTACGGTACCGCATATGATTTTCGGGGAATTGATGATACTGCATGTGTGACTACGTCTAATTGCGGTATTTTTGTTTTGGGGTGATAAATAGTTATCGTTTCAAATTGAAAAAGGCTCGCTAACTCATTTCAATTTTTTCTCATTCAAACATTATATTTTTATATTCAAACATAAGGTATCATGGCGGGCCATTAACAATTATCGACCAGGGTCCACTATGATTGAAATCTTGCGCTTCTCGACATAGAATATAGAAATATATAGTATTATAACTAGGCTTACCATACGTCCCGCTTTAGGCGGGACAGTCCACAAACACGTTCTCGTTACTGTTGTTTCTGTGTAGCGCAGCGCTAGCCTACTTACTGAAGGTGAATGCGTTCGTTTCCCGCTGATTCCCATTGATGGCAGACGTATCGCATGTAAAAGCAATACTAATTAGTCTAAATTCGAATTATTTGTACCGGTATTGTTAACGTCAATTCCTTCCTATTTTTCGAACTGAACCCGATATTTGGACAGAGAATATGCGCATAAAATTTCGATAACAATATGGTCAATAAAGACAGCCGGGACAGCTTTAAATGTAGGAATGTAGGCCTATGTAGCAAAATTGAAAAATGTGAAGTTACAGAATCGTCTTTTGAGGCGTCCCGATTTGAAGACACAAAAATATGGTAACCCTAATTATAACATATGTATATACGCGAAAAAACCATTATGCCGTCATACTGGATTTCCGTTAAATATATTATGATGTGGCAAGTACATAGGCGTTTGTTATTTAGGTCATTTGGAATATTTTGTTGAATCATTAGTTTTAGTTGACTAGTCATAATTTAATCCTTTTAACAACAAATATTATTCAAAATTCAAATCCAGCAATGGGAATGACGACAGTTGGCACGGAACTTACAACAGGGGTGCCAGATTTTTCCTCGCCAACCTGCACCAAGTTAACAATTTTTGACAGCACGGATCGAACTCAGATTGGACAAGATCACAAAACTCAAGCTGATGCACTCGGTCTTTCGATTGAAAAAATGAAAAACAGCTCGGATTATGTGGTAAACATGTATAAGATCTATCATACATTCATTTTAACTACTCCAATATAGCAGTGGCGGCGCGTGGTCATTTTGACAACCGGGGCAAGCTACTGCGGGACCAAGTCACCCCCATCTACGGGGACAGGATGAGCGCTGTAAGTCCTCCCATCATTTTATGAGTATAAAAACCATTCCATCGGCAACAACCAATCGGCAAAAGCGACAATTTTTAACGATAAGAAAGTGTCTTTAAAACCGGTCCAAGTCAAGGGATTAATAAATATAGACATAGTTTATTTTGAAACCTCTTTCAAAAGGAAAGGCAATATTTACCCAGATAAATACAATGACATATTAACAGAAACTTCGGGAAAGCAGACAAAACCTAAAATAAGGTATAAAACGTTACTATGAAGAAAGGAAAGTAATGCAAAGATAAGGACATGCGTCGCTCACTCGTAGATATATATGCTGCTAGACTTCTACTGTTTGAACATATATGCAACACGCCGCGGTTTCTTGGAAGCAAAATGCTCAATAACGCGCTGATTAAAGTCATGCATCCCAGAAATAACGTCTCTGTGAATGGATAAAACAGCCAAGGACTATAATCTATCTTGCTTCATTGTGTTTCTGAGATACGTTTTAATACGCTTCAGCGTGCTGAATGTTCGCTCTGCGTCGGCGGAAGAAATAGGCGTCGTCAAAATGATGTCCAGAAATTTTGCAGACGCCGCAAAGGTAGTTACTAGAGTGTTATCTATGAGGAACCCATAGAGCGCGCAAGTTGATGTGATGTTCAAAAAAGTTTGATTGGTGTATATACATCGCAATTCATTTTCCAATTTACCCACGTTTATCATGGGGTAAAATTTGGAGACAGTAGCCAACAAATGGATGGGAAATTGACGTGCTAATTTTGAAAAATTTTTGGGGTTCATCAAGAGAACGCGGCAAGGTGTTCAGTGCGCAGACGATCGCCTATTTGATTCACCAGAATGTCACAGCATTCCTTTGCAGACAAAATCAAACGCTGCGTTGTTTGCCCGCGGCGTAAAGAAGCACTCCATGTGTCGTCGTATTTTATTGTTTCCCGGATACGAGATACAGCATCGAAGAAGTCTGAAATACACGACTGCACAGACGCTCCATCCATTAGCTTTGACTGCAATGCGCCGTATAATACATCCACGTGATAGAATATTGTGGAGAAAAAAGCGAGAAAAAATGAAAACTCACCATCTTCTAGCAGACGCTTTAGACCCGCCGCCACCCTCACAGAGCGTTCGTCCCAAACCGGAGAGCTCTGAATGCCATTGAAACACTCAATGAGCTCAGACCTAATTTCGGACACGCCCTGCACCACGCGTGATTGGAAGTTCCAACGTGTTGGTGCACAAGCTGGGAGACGGCGGCTACATATCTGGCGAAGAAGGTCAGAGCGCTTCGGCGAAACGGAAAAAAATGAAGAAAACCCCGAAACATTTGCAAAAAATATACGGACGAGAGGGGTATCAAGACACATATTTTTAATAACGAGGTTAAATTGGTGTGCATAACAATGTAAAAAATGCGCATGAGGAAAATCTTCTTTTATATACACTTGAACACCATGTTTCGACCCACTCATGACTGCCGCGCCGTCATAAGTTTGAGCTATCAATTTTGACTTCGCGTTGTAAGGCTGTAACACTTCTTTCAGTACAGCCGATATCCCGCAAGCCGTGCGATCAACGATTGGTACAAAGCTGTGAAATCTCTCGGTAGGTTTACCATCTTTCACAAACCGAAAAATCACAGCCAGTTGGGAAACGCACGTGATGTCAGTTGTCTCGTCAGACTGAATTGAAAGGAACTGGCAATTCTCAATTTCCAGAGCCAAATGTGGTAAATAAATTTTATACATTGAGTCGAGCAAATCATTTTGGATAACCTTAAATGTCCCTTTCGAAACAGTTGCGGCATCAAGATGATCTCTCAATACTGTATCTAGGGATGCGGTGTATTCCACCATATACAAAAATACCCCTCTATTAGAAGAGCCAGCCTGTTCATCGTGCCCACGGAGGGACAGCTCGTGACAACCAATGAACTTCAAAACATCTATCAATCGACCGAGAACATGGTGGTTTTTCTCGACGTTTTGGTTGTGCCGACGAATAGAAACCGCGCGTCCTTCATCCAACTGTGCTGCAATATTAACATTTCCGAATGTTCGGTATTTTACTGCATTGTCCAGATGCTCCATAGAAGATTGATGATCCCTGGCACGCTCGGAAAGATGTTTAAGATCTCTAAAACCAAAGTTACACCAACGTGAATCACGGGCGGTAGCAAAAAGTAGGCAATAAAAACAAAAAAGTGCATTTTTGTCCTCGCTGTAACACAACCATTCGTGTTTTTTATACCAAGTTTCTGCGCAGAATGTACGCCGACGCTTTCCTCCGTCATGGGATTGTTCCAGTGAACAATTTTTTGGTTGATAAGGCCCAAGACGGTGTACCTCTAATTTTTGTTCCAGCGAAAGCGGAGTGCGAAGTAGTGCATCAACCTTATTCATTATGAGGTCTAAGGCTAAGAAATGCGAAGCCGGAAAGAAGTGAGGAGCTCAAAAGGAATGTGGAAAATCGAAAGCAAATGGACTAAAGGTCTCTAACTGATTCAAATAGCGAAACAAGCGCAAAAACGAAGGCGAGGAAACTATCAACTCTTCAAGCAACCAACGAACGAGACGGAAGGCGTGAATATGTCAACACGTTGTTGTAAGAAACGTCGGCATTGTGTCGTCATAATTTCGGGGCTAGCCCCGATCGGCCCCGATGATTTAGTAAAAGAAACAGAAAACAAACGAGACAAACGCGGCGAGTGGAAGATAAAAGAGAGAATACGATATACAATGAGCAACCGGGGCAAAATCGGCGTCGCCCCGTCGACGTTCGGCGAAGGCTTTGCGAGCGAAAAATGAACCATGTCGGGAGAATATGGCTAGTGTAGACAGTCTGTGCAACCGATATTGAGGTATTTTTCGAATATTTTTTATTATACGGAAAAAACAACCGGGACATTGCCCCGGTTGGCCCTATTGACGCGCCGCCACTGCAATATAGTATGTAACGATGTACCCATGAATAGGTATCTAAAAAGCCACGAATGATTGTCATATATGTACTTAAAAATATTCCGACTCTATTTTACTCTTAAGTCGTGAGTTATAGTCTCTGCTTATTATAGCGAGGGCCGCTCTTTACATGGAGTAGGATTGAGATAGGACTTCAATAATAGTCATGAGATGACTTCACTCATAACGAGGTTGTAAACTAGCAAATAATGATGAAACTTACTGTATTTGAAAAAATGGAATTTCTTCGATTCCGCCTTACTCAATCCAATTTTTGCAGAGTTCCTTGCAAAAAAAAAAATACTGCCCATCGCTTCTCTAACTACTCTACTCACTCTTCAATAAACACCATTCTTACTTTCCATTGTTTTTCAAGATATCACGACACGTTTCTTTTCCGATCACCAAAATAAGGCAAAAGTCAAACATTATTTATAATTAACTTCAGGTCTGCACTCCTCTTCGGCAAAAAAAATGTCCAGGATCAGGTCGCACACCTGGTGCTTGCTATGTCGGAAACGAACATGGTAATTGGGAATTCAAAGTTTGGAATGAATCAAGTACGTAATAAATGAGAGAAATAGTTGTATAGAGAAAGAAAATCTATGATAATATATATAAGAGAGATAATGAAAAAAGAAGGCGATGAGGGAGGAATAAAAAAAGTAGAGGCAAAGAAGAAAAATATGACGAATTCAGAAGGAAAGAACACAAATTTATTCTTTCCTTATTTTTAACAGAATGCTTTGATAAAACAATTGAAATCATTTTTGTCGTGGATGGATCTGGTAGCATCGGTGAATCAAATTTCATGCTCGTGAAGCAATGGTTGATTAATGTAACAGCTAGTTTGATAAATGATTTCGGAGACGCGGTTCGAACGGAGGTTTTACAGTTTTCTAATAAAGATAATCCATGGGATGGGTAAGTTGAAGAGTTAAACGTACTCTCGGAGTTATGTAAGATATTTCAGTTGTATGCCAATTTGATAATAACAAGAATATATCTCAATTCAAGCAAAATTCATGTTGAAAATAAAGCATTTGAAGACGTGTAATAAATACATATCTTGCATGTGCTTTCACGAAGATCTGTTTAAGGGTGTGGTAGCAAATATATATGTATGAGAATTGGTGAATAAATTATTTGTGATTAACAAAATTTTCTATTTTAGAGTTGCAATTAAAGACTCCAAGAAATTTGTTATTCCCTACAAATTAGAGGATGGCTATGCTATTGAAAATATAACTCAGCTCATTACTGAAATGCCATATCTAAACTCTGCCACGTACACATACTATGCACTGCGAAGAACAATGGAGGTATAACATAATACAAGCGAGCATTTCTATGATTTTATTTTGTATTTGATTATTTACTCTTTATCATAGGTGGAATTCCCGAAATCCAGCCACTATGCAACGTCTGTGAAAATGGTCGTAGTTCTCACCGATGGAGAAGCGAATGATGGGGCTTTCCTCAGTGGATGGTAAATTGATTTTAATCATCTTTTATCACCTTTTTGTATGAGTGATTCGTCTACTATGGCAGGGGTGGCCAACCAGTCAGAGACCCTCAGCCGCATTTCGTACTTTTATTACCGCGAAGAACCACATTACAAAAAGAACACACACGAACATCAGATACATCTTTATTCAACTCTGCTAAAATGCTAGTTTATTGTAAATGTCACTAACCGACATGATTATGACAGAAATTTACAAGCCATTTATTGTTTAGATTGCTACATAGTGGGAATTCTGGCATTCCTTGGATTGGACCTTTAAATTTGGCTTGTATGTCGTTATAGCCAATCGAAGTAGTTCTTTCACGTGGGTTTCAGTTCGAATAAATCAAAGCTTTGATCACACGTGTTTTGGATTAGAAAACACAGATTTGCAGACGTATGTTGACCCAAACATTGATAATTCCTAAGCGCATCTCGTTTGGCATTGAGTTATTTTTCCATTGGAATGATTTTCTATAACTCAATGACTCCTTCCCTCAAAGCGCATTTCAGCTGGTCTTCCTTATAAAGATCGATCATCTTCAACTCAGTTGCAGCATCGTCTGAGACTAGAGGGGATTTCCAACAATCCATCTCAGAGTTAAATTGGTCGTCGACGATGTGATCTGTGACGTCTTATCATACTTCAATTACTTCATTCAAATAGTAAACTGCGCCGTTTGCCCCGAACTTCGTTTTCGATACGATTACGACAGTCGTTGTAGTGTATAAACGCGTCTCAACAACAAGGAGTTTGATCGGTACCCAATAATGGACGATTACAATGTAAATTGAATAAAAGCGTTCATTTCTCTTCGACACAAAAAAGAATGCGCGATGAATCATAATATGTTTAATCGAAACATGATGAATAGTAGTTTGCAAGTTATTTTTTTCCCTTCAAATAACGACGGAGAAAAGAGCCGCATGAAACCGGGTTAAGAGCCGCATGCGGCTCGTGGGCCGCTGGTTGGCCACTCCTGCTCTATGGGATCCGGTTCGAGACAAAAATCCAAATAGAATCGATCGTTCTAGTAACTTGATACATCGATCAAATCCATGTATATTTACAGGCTTGTCCATGGGATATATTTTTCTGTCACTTTCCCATCCCAATAAAATTGCTAAATTTAGGTTTAGCGTCTTCTTCATAGGACTACATATACGAATAGACATGCAAAACAGCAAAATTTACGGACTTTGTTAACTTTATATTCATACCTATTATACATGTGTCCATCATTCCCTTCACGTATATTGTTATTACTGAATATATTTTACTCTTTATAACTAACAAGAGAGCTGTGCTCAAATATATGGACACGGAGTCTATAACGAAATGTTTTACCATAATTTCTCCGAAAATCATGCGGTTTTCGTGTCCACGTGCCCCATGGGAAATACAAATGTGTGCTGTCCCATCCCATCCCATGGGCCGTTTCCCGCGGGATTCGCATGTGAATCCCATTCCCATGGACAAGCCTGCATATTTATACGCATAGTATATTTATGTTGGCACGAACCAAACCTCCTGGACAAACAAACATTATGTCAAGCTCTTGCTTAATTATTCATAATTATACCAAATAATTATTATTTTGATTCAAATTTATAATAACATATATGAACAAATTTCTAAGCATGTCCGAATCGGCAGTATTTCGTTTTGGTAGATGTTTCCAAGTTTACACCACCTAAAAAAGCCTTTATAGTCATCCAGACGTAAGTAATCACCGCATTAAAAATTGAGTTTTGCCCTGCTGGCATAGCCTACCAGTGTTAGAGCCTGGATTGGAAGAACAATGAATATTCACAACAAATCAAAACATTTATTTCTTATTAATTCTCAGGCATGATAAATACAAACACATGATAACGCCGTTTGCTGTTGGAGTGGGAAATTATGAAAAATTTTTGAATCAACTGCAAAATATTGCTAACGGAGGAACTGGAAATGATAGAGTTCTGACAGTTGCCGACTTTGGTGCCTTACAGGGCGTTATTAAAGATTTAACATCAGTCATAAAGAGCGAAGCATTAGAAGGTTATCCATTTCATTTTCTCTTTCACCGTAATTATTAGTAATACAGGGTGCCCATAAAGTACCTTTACCAATTTCAATTTTAGTTATGAAGTCAGAATCAGATTTGCTGTTTTTTAATTAGTAATTGTTCGAATATTTCTCCTTCATTTCATACATCCGTGAAAGCAAAACAATATATATATGGTATCGATAAATTCTCGTTGCAATTGAAAATTCAAAACAAAAAACTTCATGGATTAATGGATAAGCATCTAATCATCTATACATTATACCGATAAATTATGAAACAGTAAATATATATAATGGAAAATGAAATTGTGATTGTGTCATTTCCTTGTTATGGTGTGAAACAGTGTTTAATAAATATAAATATATGACATCATGGCAGGTCGCAAGGAAGTCAGTGAAATAGGGAACGACATTGACAATGCACAAGTCGGTGCATCGATAGCATCAAGTATGGTAAGTTCATTTAGTTGAAATCCAAAAATTTTTGCCGATTTGAAAACGCTCAATTGCTGCTCCGTTGAATCGCCCAGCATAACTACTCGGGGTTTTCAAATTTTTAAGTATGTTGAATTGGTCACTTCAATTCAGTTTATCTAATTCGTGCGTCTTTATGTAATTCGTTCATCATTATAAACAATTTCACTCTATACTCCCCGAGTAGCAACGAGCCTAACCCCCCCCCCCCCCCCCCAAAAAAAAAAAAACTTAACCTCGTTGAACCGATACGAGTTTTTTTTTGGATATATATATAATGACAGTTTCATTGCCATTACAGCACGGATCTTTATATATTGGTGGAGTTGGAATGTATCAAGGGATTGGCTCCATCATAAAGTATGGAAAATCTACCGATAAAGATCCATATATCTCACCTTACTCCAACGTTGAAAACGTCTTGAAGAATTCTACCGAAGATACTCCATATTTAGGTTGGTAAACTTTCACGGGGATTCAAATAGTCTAACAAATTTGAGTCATAGTAGAAATCTTGCAGTTTTATATTCATTTGAGGTCCCGTATTGTATGTTTTGTACTTACTGTTAATACATTCTCCTGATGTGCAAATACATGACTATGAAACTGTACAATAGCAGGATATATTTTAAACTCGCTGAGCGCATAAAATAATGCATAAAACGCAAGAGAACACACGCTTGCTCACCAATACCTTGACGTTGATTCGTTGGAGAATTTATCTGCTAGTATTACCAGAATACCAGTCGCAACGTACAATTATTGTCACTACAGGATACGCCACTGTCACGGGATTTTTTGACGGAATCAATTCGACAGAATACGTAGCAACTGGAGCACCAAGATACAAGCTAGAAGGAGCTGTAAGAACGAAATACTTCTATATACCTGGTGAACTGTTTGCGAGACAAAAAAGTTAAAATGAATGCAGTATAACCAAGTACCACGCTCGGACAATCATGTTGCAGTTAAATAAATCGTAGTTGATTAAATATCCTATGGAAGAAATATTCACATTAACGTATACGTCATTCTTACATTAGGCTTATATTACATGCTTTTAAAGGGTGCTCCTGAAGTATGCGCACCAAGATGTCGCATAACCTGAATCCTAACCTGGTACACAACGTTAATTCAGGTTGTGCGCCATCTTGGTGCGCATACTTCTGGAGGTCCTTTTAAAGTATACATATTCTATGGATTGTCACACCCACACGTGGTTCAACTGTTGCCTAAACCAGTTTGTCGCAAAGCTATGTTGTATAAAGCAAGATGGCCATTTGTAGTATACTAACAGCGGTAAGAAATAAATCCAAATTTTATAACGTTATTCAATTACATTAGGTTATCGTGTACGAGTCTGTTCCAGGAAGCACTGATTGGAAAGATGCCGTAACGATACTACCCCCGCCAGTCGATAAAATGCATACTGGTTGTTATTTCGGTGGAGTTTTGTTGACTGTTGACGTGAATGGTGACGACAAGGAAGACTTGTTGGTTGGCTCACCTTTATATATTGATCAAAATTACGACGAAGGCAGAGTTTTCGTTTATATCAGTCAGAAAGCCAATTCCTTATCGAGCTGGGTAAGTTAGTAGGCTATAAAATGTTCTATATAGTATGACAATAATCAAACGAAGAAAGAATATGTTGCACAAAGTCCATTACCATTCTAGGTCAGCGATTTCCATACTTTTCGTTCGCCCACCGCCAAATTATCAGGGGAATTATGAAAAACCCACGGCGCGCTCACACGTAAAAATGCTGCTTTTAAATGGAACCCAATTTTGTGATCGCTAATGTGTACTTTATCTTTGTGCCTTTTGAAATTGTTATACATGTGTAGGCCTGAGGAATAAAAGCGAAAAGTCAACTCTTCACCTACGTCTCTGCGTGATTTTACTTTAGTAGTGTCTACCTCTATTGTTACGTAACAGTTACGTAACAGGCACAACGCAACAGCGAGTAAATAATATTGAAATTAAAAAATGAAATTCATTGATTCATTTCATATACACAGCATTCAAAATAAGAAACAATGAAAAATTTATATTAAATACAGTATGCGACCCCGTTGGGAAGCGCTGCGTTACAAGATGAAGATTTAAACGCTGGATATTTTATCGACTTAAAATCCGACCTAATATTAACAAAGTATTTTTCAAGGCTTCTAGATCATATATTCCCACTGAGCTCTACGGTGACAATTTGCCTGGTGGACGGTTGGAACAGCAATGACCAAACGCCGGAGACTTGAATTTGGATGGGTATAACGACGTTATTATCGGTGCTCCGTTTGCTGAAGATGGCCGAGGCGCGTTTTTGTGTATCATGACAGAGAAGGGATTGCGAGCAACGTATAGCCAATATCGAATATTTTTGTAGCACAATTTATCATTATCATCTTCTCTCATATTTTTGTATTTCAAATTTTCCTACAAATCTTTATTTTTTGGTTTTCGAAATAATTCAATCCATGGTTATTTAGTGTAAAAAAGCCAAATATTTTCGAATTGCGTTATTTTTTTTTCAACTTTTTACGTACGAAAGCGAATAACTAGTAAGCAATTTTACTAACAAAGCTGACAATTTTATTTAGTGAGAATTAAGGATGCGTAGATATTCAACTAGCGATTCGCAGAAAACAAAAGAACTATGCTCAAATAAATGGACACATAGCGCTACATAGTCGCAAGTTTTAATGACGTCATAGCACACAATAAAACGAATCCATAGAGCTACCTAGAATATTTGAAATAAATAAAAGTAATAGTCTTCTAGCGAAAAATTGAATACCTTGAGCACTGAAAATTTTAAAGCGATTGATTTAGTAATCAAAGAGAAAAGCGATTTTTTTCTGTGACAAAGAACAACAACAACATAATAACAAAACGATTGCTATGTCCACTTACGTGTTCAATCAACCTTTACCGATGGTATTTTGTGTAGTATTTGCTCACATTTCAACTAATACACTAAGTTTGTTTAATAAATTAAATTGGGTTTCTAGTAGTTTGATACCAGGTCAAACTGTATTTATTATACAGTTATACAGGACAATACCAACCACATCCTAAACCACTATTAAATTTTTTTATTTTTTTCAGAAAATTCTTGCATCATCTCTATTTGATCCTACAATAAAATATTTTGGACAATCCATGCAAGGAAATATTGATATTGATAAAAATTCATACCCGGATATATTTGTTGGAGCACCAAAAAGTGATTCTATTGTTCTTTTGAGGTAATAATCAAATTTATTCACACACAACATTAGATAAAATATGACATATCTGGAAAAGTGAAGTATATGTTTATAGCCTTTTTTGCTTTTACATTTTCAACATATATCGTCGTAATTCAGATCTCGACCAGTGGTAAATATTTGGGCAACAATACACTTTCAAACAACAAAGCTCGATATTATCAACTGCATCAGGAATAACTACAAAAACTGCTCTTCGATTGAAGTCTGTTTCACGGTAAACGGTACCTCAATCGAGTCGGAAATAGGTAATTTTGCTTTATGCAAAAGAAAATATTATTTTTTGATAGTTCGGGTAAATGACAAGAAACCTCAATCGAAATTTAAAGTTGATACCTGAAATACCAAATCGATGGCATTTCATTTGAAATTGCCAAGTACACAGCTATTTGAATCAAAATGTAAGCATCAATACAACGTTATAGACCTTGTTATCATCGTGTAGAATGTAGATGAAAACAATACAAAGGATTTTTGAAAGACGTTGTCCCATTGGAGAATTGTTGGACATCAATTTTTTTAGACTTCAAATTTCTATTTAAATTCTTGTCTTCGTTGTCGCATAGGTATTGAATACAACTTGACGCTTGATATCGCGAAAACTACGGATAGCGAAAAGAGACTTGAATTCGGATCAGCCTCATTGAGTTCTGGTACAGGAACTACAAAATTAACGAAAAATACTACACTGCCTGTCGGAGAAACGAAGTGCTTCGTGCACACATTCGATATGAGAGTATGTGTTGAGTATTAAAAATTGGTAAAATACCCTAATTTGGAAGAAAATATCATGGATTTAATGTATGCAATGAGTTTGTTCACTCTCTACCTATTGATAGTTTTCAATCTAACACAATTTTTGAGATTTGAAAAAACTACCATTAGTTTTTCCTTGGTACATTTACTTTTAATAAATTATATACACTGCTTAAAGTGATATCTTTTCATTTAAACTGCTCTTTCTTGACTTTAATAATTTTTTCTTATTTATCAGAAAAATATCAGCGACTACGAATCTACCCTTGTTGCAGAGATTGAGTATGATCTACTTTCCTCTCATGTTGCCACACCAATGTCTTCTGTTAGAGATCCGTGAGTTGATTACAACATTATTCACCTGTTTGTCTTTTTGCGTATTTTGTTGGTATCTACAGCCTTTAATATCTTGGTTTAGTAATAATCAAAACAACTGTTGACTTTTATTAATAAATATGAGATAAAATATTAAGCGAAGAAATGATTCTGGCCCGAGGTTATGCGCTTCTCTTTTGAGTTCCTCGTGTTGTTTCAATGTAGTTTTCGTAACTTTAACTGCCCGCAATTACTGATCTGTAACCAGGCGAGAGACAGGTGTGTATATATGATTATATCGTTTCCTTCTCAACGGTCAAATACGAAAACTCCCGTCCTATCCTATCCCGTCCTATCCTATCCTATGTAGAACTTGCTTTCTCTTGTAACTTCGTATCTGCTTAATTAATTCTGTACAGATTACGGACCTATAAAAAGTCATCAGGAATGGGATTTATGAAGCAATGCGGCGAAGAAGATATCTGCAATCATGATTTAAGAGTTGGAGTAGAAATGAATCTACCATCATTTCATATGTAAGCAGTCTGCAAAATTTCTTTCAAATTTCTCAAAAACTTTCCAGTCATTGCGATTGAAATATAAAAAGAACAATTTCCTCGAAGGAATCTTCAGTTTAAAATTGGTTTCCGCAAGTATGCTATATGCAAATGTCCAAAAGTTTTTCTAAATGAACTAAGTAAGTCTTGACTAAAACAAAATAATATTACCAATGTTTTTCATCCTATAGAAATTCAGCCAATAGTTCAAAAATAATTAGGTACTAAGCAACAAATAGTTTAGTAATAGAGCGCAAAAAAAAGACAGCATTCTTATATATCGCACTATTTTCAGAGATGGCAAAGATTACTCTGAAAATGGTCAAATCCTTATAATTGATTCTTCAACCACTTCTCAAGCAATCACCGTTCGTGTGAACTTTACAAACGTCGGGGAGAATGCGTTCGGCACAAAACTGAATGTGTCTTATTCTTCGAAAATTAGTCTGAGTACGGTAAGTTGAGTTGAGTATGGTTTTTCTACTTATCGTTATGAAAAAAAAATCACTTATTTCGTTAGCTACTGGACCAATTGCTCTGAAATTATCAGTAGTTTAAGTTGTGTTTTTCCTAGACGGTCATGACCTTTCTTTATTTCAAAAAATTCTGTGGCTCTATGGCATTCGTTTTTTGTGCGATGGCGTCATAAAGAATTGCGCAACTTGTGGCGGTTCCACGATCGCGTTATTCGTAAACACTGCCATACCAGTTGTCTGCTGTACCAGATTACATACTCCTTTATATTGCGTACTACATCGTTTTGGTCTTCGTGGCTATTTAGGCATCGCTCTCTTGTTTCTATAAAACAAGGATACATTTTTTATTTTGCTATGGACTTAAATCGTATTTGAACGAATATTATACCGCAGATTTAAAAACCAAACAAAGTGTTCATATACTATAGGAACAGTAATGGCCAAGTCAACATTCACTATACATGTATCTATTCACATACATAGTTCTAATTTTAATCCATGTTTATATTTCATTCAAGTGTTTTATATCGTTTTACTGTTTCAGATTTTCAACTCCATATCATACCCGGAACTGCCATCATGTGTTGTTGAATATGGTATTCCAATTCATGCTGAAGATGGTTTTACGACAAAAACATTCAAATATAATTCGCAGGAAAACATCATGATTCCTGAAGCTTGGGTAAGTGTTAACATATACGGCACAAGGATGAAAAGTATAAGTAGAAGTTTGAGTTGAGTATTGAGAAAAAAAATGAAGCAATATATGGAATGCAAGAAATTAATCATAAACGATCATTTTTTATTTTATTTTTAGTGTTATTTCGAGTTCAACATAATCGCTTCTAGTTTAAAAAGAGCTGGAAATATGGACGCGTTTATAATTAACATAACGACTTATGCAAGGTGAGACAGAGAATCGTATTTTATTTTTATTTTTTTAAATTAAAATAACTAACGTTACTACTAAATACTTTTAATACGAAGCTTGAATTCGTCGACGGAAAACAACACTTTAGACAACAGTTGGGAAAAATCGCCTGCCATCAAGTACAGATCAGATTTCAATTTGAGAAGGTACTTCATTCTATTTTTACGAGTTTTTACTGATTAATAATAATTAAGTTGATATCATTACCAGTCTATGATTATACTTAACTTTCGCATCTTTCTACAGAGAAAGCAGCAACCCTGAAATATCATTCAACTATACGACAACGACTAAAAACATAACTACTGTAGATGAGATATCAGAAGGAATTCCAGTCATCGAAATGTCTTTCAGAGTAAGAATCACACATATTTAACACCCTGTTCATTTGAAGACAGGTGAAATATTCGCTGCACAACAAACTTATGGTGCACTCTTCATTAACCTTTTTGTATCTCGGAAGGGTGTTTTTGAATATGTGTAAGCGATAATCAAATTTTTAGTCAAAATTAGAAATGTAGGCTATATACATTATTTATTTATATTTAATTTGAAGATTCGGTTAATATACTTTTTTATATGCGAGTTCTTAATAAAGATGCAGACTATACTTTTTTCTTACCAGATTACCGGTGCTGGTTACAGCAACATTCCATCATCGCAAATATCACTAACCTGGCCGTCGAAATATGCTGGCGAACCTCTGCTTTATTTATATCAGGTTTCGTGTAACTCTGAATTTGCGGCTGGAGTCGACAACCCGGTAAGATGGTTATTTACATTTAATGCAGCTGAACTTTATATAATTTATAAAGTTTGTTTGAAAACATTACCTTTTATGAGCTTATTCAAAATATGAAATAATACGCTGCGATGCCCTTGACAAATTGGGACTGACTGGAAGAGCTCGAAGCTACCGGTAGAGCAACAATCACTCATCAATAGCCAGATAAGTAAATAAAACATAAGATTATAATATCGGTGTTTTATTTTTCAATGTTACAGACAACTTGCATCTGTGAACAGTCTAATATCAATTCATACGATCTCGTCATAGATACAGAAACTGACAACTCAACAAAAGGATACGCCACCTTATCTCCACCGGATGTCGCGATCAATGTTTCAGAAATGGTAAGCAGAAAAGGGAATACATTTCAGAATTCTGTGATGCCTCGTACAGAGTAGATGCTTGATTTACATTTCAAATTGCTGTTCTGTCTTCGTCGTGTAAGAATAAAGACTATATCACAAACTAAACAGTACTAACCTAACGGTACATGACTAGACTAGGATTTACATATTTATCTACGGGAGATACGGAGTCGATAGGACTGCTTAGTCATATGCCATACCACGGCCTAACGTCTGGTCATTAGTTCATTCTCTAATTATCACGACATACCGAGAATATCAGGATTTCCGCCACTAATTTGAGGTAGTTCCAAACATTCTCCTTTAATTACTAACCTAATTTATGACGTTTTACTACCAGAACTGCAAAGACTTTGAACCAGGTCACTCCTGCGATTCCTTGATTTGTAACGTTGCAAATATTGGAGAATCTGACAAAATCAATTTCTACGCGAAATTCAGACTTTGGACGTCAAGTATTACGTTTGAAGGAACAGTAAGCAAATTTACAAATTTTGTTTTCATTAATGTTCGCGCGTTGATGGTTTGTGATGAACCTCCTGTTGATGAAAAGGGGTAAGGTTTGGTGCGCGAAACCGAAAGAATAAAAACAAGAGAGCATCCTATATACGTACACTGAGGTCAAATGTCATATAAAAATGTTTCATGAATTGAGATAAAAAAAAAAAGCAAATTTTGAGTGAATTATCGGGTCCCCGTGTATGCAATTGTGAATGACTGTAAAAGTTTTTAATTATTCTTTCGGCAATTGAATTCATATTCAAACATTGCAATTTTCCTATTCAATCTTGAAACGAAAGTAATCAAATATATAATAATATAATATATCTAAATACTTGCAACATCAAATTGTCCTGCAGAATTTTAATTTCTGTTTTACGCTTATCATGATGTTGAATCAAAACCGTTATTATCCCTACTATATTTAAATAAAACTACAGAATCAGACTCAAGTTGATCTGCAGACTTTATTTGAGATTTCAACTACTGGCTCACCTCTTATAATAAACAGCGAAGGAAGAAACGTTACCATCAAGACAGAAGAGGTACGATTACCTATATATTCATTTTTTCAATTAGACTTATGTGCTATCGTGGGGGGATAGCGAAATGTAAATGTTGCAGCTGATTAGCTACCTCGTCATGGAGAATGTAATAAATTTCATTGGAATGGATAACATCCTTCCAAAGCACGGTGGTCATCATTAGTCAGTGCACACGGTGTCTCGAAAATGTTGTTGTCCAATTTGAATTAATTTACCGTGTGTTTTTACGAAAACTGCGAAACATAGAATTTATTCTGAATGTATTCAGATAACGACAGTCGTCAAGAAATACATTGCTATCGAAATACCGGAACAACAAAACGTCATCTGGTATTATATTGTTGCTGCAGCTGGGGGAGTTCTGCTACTCATCCTTATTGTTCTTCTGCTATGGAAGGTATAGTGAAAACCTTTTCTTTGATTATTATTTATCAGCGGTGTATACTACTAAAATAAAAACGTACAACGAGAGAATCATTGTAAGAATTTTAGAAATTTGCTTTACCTAAATTTGAAAAATTGGTACAGATTGTTTTCAGTTCACCTCTTTATTGTTGTGAAATAATTCCATTTAAATTTAATCTGTGTATGCCGTAAAAATTAGAAGGGAATATGAAATTTTGAATATCTTGCCAACTAACGAAAAATAGCTTTAAAATTTCATGCATCTTTATTATGTTATAGAAAACAATACTGAATTTCTAGTTTTCGATTTTCGACTATTTTTCTATAAATATATCTAGATTTCTGCATGTAATAAAAATAAACCATTATACTAGTTTGAAATTCACATGTCAATTATATTCTGTCATTCATGGAATTGCCCTTAAATATTATATTGCAAAAGTAGTAATGATAATTTACTGGGAACTAGTCAAATTGCGCCATATACAAAAAAATATTCTGTGAAACTGCTTTTAAAAAGAACGGTATTGTGATAACATTTATTGAGTTAGTTATATCCTCAACAAGATAAAATATTTTTAGTACAAAAATTACCTTTTACAGATTTGATTTTCATTTGAAAAGTGCTAATAAGTTGGGATATACTATATTTACTGCTTGCCAACTCACAACAGACGTCTAATTATTATAAAAAAAATTTTGAACTCCAGATGGTTGTATCCTCCGCAATATAATGCGTCGTAGAATTTTTACGATGAGAATAGACATAGATTGTCCGTTCCTGTTATTTCGTAACTTCAATTTTCGCAACCTAATTATCAGAAATCAAATGAGCAATCTTTCTTGCTGTAACGGATAAATTATTGACTCGTGTTTAATTTATATTAGTTATATATATATATATAACTAATAACTAAGTTTTACTTACTTTAAATTACCCAGTGCGGATTCTTCAGAAGCAAATACGCTGAAAAGCAGAAAACAGAGGAAGATAAACTCGCCGAAGAAACAGATTTTCCGGATGTGGACGCTGGCAAAGAGTTTACTATGGGGTCCAATTTTAATGGAGTCAATGGCAGTGGGTTAAATTCCCCTGATTCTGCAGCATATGAGAATCAAAACTTTATTGATGCAACGCTGTCTGTAGATCCGAGTCCTCGAAAGGAGTCACCGTTGGACCAAGTTTCGATTGGGAGCAAATAAGCATGAGTTAGGTTTGCTCATGAATATGTTGTTGATAGGCAATATGTTCTCAAAAATAATATTTTCTCTCGGTTCAGCATTCAAATTGGGAATTTCACGTTAAGTTCAAGCGGATACTTATATAAATGTCTGGTATTAATTTATACTTACTGGAAAAGCTATCAAATTGAAGAATCTTCAATTTAATAATTGTATGATTTAATCCTTGCCACCGGTTATTGTACTTCAATTCCTTATAAAATACGTATCTTCTGTTCACATATATCACCATTTCATTTTGTGTGATAACGCAATCACTTGCAATTAACCACTGTACTTTGTACGTCTATCAAATTTTTTTTAATATCTTTAGTATATGATCTATCGTACTCTGTTTTTCATTTCACGCTTTATTTGGCTAATAATAACGATTGTTTAAATTTCGTTGGGCGTTACCAGTAAATAGTATATATGCATATAATCAAATACGTGGTTATATGAATTTTCCTTATTAATTTATTATACTTGCCTTATACTTTCATGCTTCTTTAAAGCTCATAATCAAAATTGCAAACACAATTCAACTGCATGGTAATGAAAGATCAAGACGTATTATACGACGATATATTCACTGTCTTTATATTCGTTTATATATATTTTTGTTTGTGACATATTGCGAATCGTTTTTCAATATTCAAAATCCTCTATTCCGAGATGTACTTCGAGCTAATTCCTTTTTTAACTGAACCCCTACTTGGTCCAAGAAGATCACGCCGTAGTATATGACAATATGTCGGCAATATTTTGCCAATATATGTTGGCAATATATTGGCAATATGTTTTCAATATAATCTTCCTTTTATATTTTGATTAACGATTAGAAGATCGATCAATTTGGCAATGGCAACCATTACAAAATTATCAATATGGTGTGGCAAATAATTTTTTTCTTTTTCTAGTATTTATTTTTATTTTTTTGTTTACTGTATAGTATACCCTAAATTTATCGCGTTTTATTCTTACTTACATAACTTCTCAGTGGTTGGGTGTGTGTGTGTGTGTGTAGCTGGTGGGTGCATGTGAGCGTGTGTGAAATAACTTAATAATTTTAGGTGAGTAAACACGTACCACTTCCTCTTGACAAAACCTTCCATCTTATATTTTGTACGTTATAAACCTTTTCTAAGGTTTCGTTTGCTTCCCTGATTTCCTAATCAGTTCTTATTTATTTGTTTTTATCTGTCAAATGTATTGTTATGCTGATTATGGAGTCGAAATAAACTTATACTTATTATATACTTATACTTATTTGTTTATATTTTTGTTTGTAACATATTGCAAATCGTTTCAACATATTCAAACATCCTCTAATCCTAATTAGACCTTTCTACTTCTGTATTATGAAATATATAAATTATACTACAAACTCAATTTCGCTTGTAATTAACGAAGTGGCTATCTGGGACTGAGAGCTGCTAAAATTTCATTTGTTACGCCACGGTGGACATCTTGCTGATTAGCAGGCTTACCATTAGAGATGTCCCGATGTATCGGGTATCGGTATCGGCTACATTTAGACCGATATTTCATATATATTCAGCTTCTCAATATCATACAGAATGTTTTAAAAAATAGGTTAAAATACTAATCTTGAAATTATTTTTTGCTTGCATGGATCGTGAACTATGAGTCATGCACGTCCCCACCTCCGCTTGTAGAAACGGAAATCGGATTCTGGCATGTTTTAGCCATTTATTAGCCAAACTGGCTCAATCAATTTGAGTATTTTCGCTGTCAAATTTTTATATTACAATTTTTAATATTACATGGTAATTATGAAGAAATATATCAACCGAATATTAGTGGATGTTCCGATGTGTAAAATATAAAATATGACGTTATTTTGGCACAAAACCCTCCTCACGTAACTCTCTGTATCAGTTTCATACGATAAGTGGGCGAAACATTTATTTATTTTACCACCAACAGTAGCCAAATTCTATTAGTTTTCTAATTGAACACCGAAATTACTAGCGCCAGTACTCAGTTCATCTGAATTGATTAACGCATTTGGATCCCAAACATCTACTTCTTAATATAGTGTGCATAATATTGTAATATATATGTATATATATGTGCGTGATATATTACTCTTTTTTGATCCGAAATAATGTGCACTATTAATAAAGCTCAAAGATTATTGTTTTAAACCTTCTGCCCTGTACACTCGAGGTAATAATTACATAGAATTGGTATTGGAATATCGGCAATATCGATCGTTTTTTAATATTGGCGTATCGGTATCGTCCGTTTTAGCTGGTATCGGATCGATATCGGTATCGGCGACAAAAGTGGTATCGGTACATCTCTACTTACCATACGTCCCAGAGGCAGCGAGGATGTTTTTAAATGTAGGCCCCTAATGTGGTTAGGGTTAGTATAGGTTCAAATATCCGCAAAACAAATAAAAATTCCATAGGTGCTAATGTGAAATCGGTAAATTTATATTTGTTAAAATCACAGCTATGGTCTTCGGAGGCGTCCCGCTTTGAGGTGACAAAAATATGGTAACCCTATAATTAGCCAATGTTGACAAAGTAGCCTACGGTTAACGAAGAAGTCGTTGCTGGGAAAATGGTATTGGGAGAGAGAGATATTTATTGTTTCGTCAACCTAAACAATAATAAATAAGAAAGCATAAATACAAATAAATAAACACCGTTTATGGTATAGACTGGAGGGAGCGATACGACCATCCAAGTCAGCTCCCCCCATATTCACTGTTATGCATAAGATTCACAGGGATTGGATGACTATGTGTGTAACGGCTAATTATAGAGTATTATACACTTAAATAATTGTAAAAATGCACCATTACAAGGGGCTAATGATTGAAGTTAGTTATCAGGTTTGTTGATCCATGCATATACAAGAAAAAAATTACTAGGGGTCTAGACTCTAGAGAATTAATAATATGGAGAACAAATAGTGGTAATTATACCCAATGAGCGTATTTGAATAATTTCTATGGTATATGAAAAGGAATATAAATGAAATGAATACATAATTAAAATATTGGATTTAGGAAGATAGGATTAACTTTGGTTTATGAAAAACAATTATAGCACAATGTGAAAAGATCAATTTCAATGACTACTGAAAGCTATTGGTATTGGCTTTATTTGTTGACAGAAAGCCTGAAACAGGTCTTCCGGGTATCTATGCATATTGCTTTTCTGTTTGTTGTTGTTTTGTTTTATGCCAGAGCAACTAAAAAAAATTGATTGATTGAAACCAACGACTAACATACCGAAACGAAAACGAAGCGAAACGAAAGAAACAACAACAATATTCGAAAAATGTGCCACCGCGTGGACGGGTCTTCTCGAAACATCTGACGAATCAGTAAACAAGTCCAGTCTTGGAAGCACAGGGGCAGGCGTTTATCGTAGCCAAAGTGACTATAAAGTTTATACCGGTAGTCACTTTGATCTTAGCAAAATAGAATTACAGTACAGTATTCTTCAAATCATTCAAACATGATACGGTATATCACGAAACATATAGGTGAGTTACAGTATATACCATAAACTGTCGATCTTTTTACAACGAGGTTGAATTTGTGAAAGCAAGGAAATTAACAATAACGGTACCGGTACCGGTACTGTACCGTTACGGTACCGGTAATAATAGGTAGGCCTACCGGTACTCTTGAGAAATTAAATAAAAATGTTTTTAGTGATGACATGATACTTTAATTGTTCAAAAAGATGGTTTTCCAATTTAAACTATTCTAAATTTTAAAATTATTTCTAAAATCAAGAATTTACAGATATATATTACTGTATTAAGATAGGATATACCGGGTACAAATTTATCCCGGGGGAGAGGAAAGTTGATAACACAGCTTAACCATATGGTGAACCATGGTCTTTCGTCTTCGTCCGGTTACCAATCCATGTCCGGTACTGCTGTACGGTACGGGTCTCGTAGTTTCGTACCTAGTATTTCTAGTACTGTAGTAGGCGTAGCATAACAATTTTTTGACATGCCAATCCCAACCCTCACCTGACTACGCCATCCAAAAATTCCAGCACTACGACGTCACAATCACGTCATAGAACTTGCCAAATACCGTACTCGTACGATCGCCCGAAATCGCATCGACGCCGACGATAAAGAACTGACTGACGTCAACGATCTCTCTCCTATTGGGATCGTTGCCACAAAAAAGGAGAGAAATGGCTGTTCGATTTCGGGTTCTTGTCTGCGGGTCTTGGATGACAGTTCGCATAATTTGAAGGGCTCTATTACGTCACTGTGATGTCGTAATGACATAATTTTTGGATGGTGTGGTCAGGTGGGGGTTAGGATTGACACGTGAAAAAATTGTTATGCTACGCCTACTAGAAGTACGAAGGTACGAAACTACATGAGACCCCTGCTGTACTGCCATATGCTGATATGGGATAAGTTCAGAAGTTACCGGTAGTTATTTGTTTTCGGAATCATGGACTTGATGGTGGAGGAAGCCGCAACCGACCAGCGGTTACGTGAACCACCCTACGAAATAGAATTACCGTACCGGTACTGAGGTACCGTAATTATAAATCGGTAAGTACTGTACTGTATAAACAGATATAAGAGAATAGTAAATCTGAACATTGATTTTTTGTTTCAAATTTTTACCTATAAAATATTCAAGCCTCGTGGCATGTGTGCTTATTAAACAATTTTCATCATTATATATCTTGCGCAATATTTCTTTCTCTAGCCCAGAGTGAAACTAGACTTTGTTCAGTGATATTTATTGTTAGGAATTGGTTGATAAAACAACTGATTTTGTCGGAGTATGGCAGAAGGAGTGACAGATCAAACACCAAAAAAAGAAATAAAAAAATGTCGAAGCGACTTCAGATTTGGTCAAGTGCTTGGCGAGGGTTCGTATTCAACGGTGATATTGGCTGAAGAAAAAACAACTAAAAAGGAATTTGCAATAAAAATCATTCAAAAACGGCATATCATGAAAGAAAGAAAAACTGCACATGTATGTAAAGTTTACTTTTTGTAAAATTGAGAAAAAATGAATGTATTTCCGGGCTCAATGGTGTGGCTCATCATGTTAAGCATTAGGAATATGCTTGCCACCACACCTCTGATTGACCTGCGTTGATTTGCATGGTTAATTATGTGCAAGAGGACTGACTTCTCGTCCCCATAAAGTGGTTCGTGTAACAGCGGATTGGTTACGTCTTCCTCGATCAAGTCCGTGCTTCTGAAAATATATAACTGGCTAACTAATCCTATACATGGACTGGTGATCGCACAAGAGGTCTAGTTTCACCATTATTATGATTGAGCCACACTATTGGCTTTACTTTCTCTGGGATAAATTTGTTATATTGAAGTCAGTTAGTGTTGTTGGCACAGATGAAAAGGCTCAGGTGCAAACTACATGTCCGTTATTTCATCTTGAATAAGTTGTAATCTATTGACTGAATGTCAAACCGGAAAAATATTCAAATATGTCGTAGAATTTTTCATCTATCCACCAAATTTTATTTGATTGACTATGTCTTGCCCACATCTTTATTATCATAATTCGCACACGTTACCACTTTATCTTATATTATACTAATATTTTACAGGTCATGCGGGAAAAGGAATGCCTAAAAAGATTGAATCATCCCTTTTTTATCAAACTTTATTTCACTTTTCAAGATGAAGAAAATCTTTATTTCGGTCTGAGTGTGGCTAAAAAAGGAGAATTGCTAGATTGTATTCTAGCTGCTAAAAAATTTGATTTTGTCACTACTCGTTTTTACGCCGGTGAACTTGTAGCAGCACTTGAGCATATGCACTCTATCAATATTATTCATCGCGATTTGAAACCAGAAAACGTTTTATTAGATGACAATTATCATATTCAAATCACTGACTTTGGCACTGCAAAGGTAATTGAAGATGGCGACCTTTCGACAACGAGAACTAGTTCTTTCGTTGGTACCGCCCAATATGTTTCACCTGAGCTTCTCAAAGAAAAGCAAGCTTGCAAAGCTTCAGATTTATGGGCACTTGGATGTATTATACATCAAATGCATTGCGGAAAACCTCCCTTTCAAGCTCAAAATGAATACCTCACTTTTCAATTGATTTTAAAATGTCAATACGAGTTCCCGGAAATTTTCCATGAAGATGTCAAAGATATTGTCGAACGATTAATTGTGATAGATCCTCAGGTATTTATAGTGACCTTTTATTATGTTATTTCTCCTATTTTGACCTTTATGTGCATTTAGGTTAATATTATATATTTCTCAATATGATTTAGTTTGATTTAAATAATCCAATTGAGGTATATACGGATGTAGTATATCATTTTATTTTATACTTATTCTCATATTTCTCTTAATTTGGCATTTTTTATTATTTAGTAATATTGAATGTTCCAATTTCAGCACAGTTCAGCATCTTTTTGAAATTTGTTGATCAAATCACAAAACATTTCATTTTAACGATAAAGGTGCAAAGAGAATACAACTCCAGAACATTTAAAAAAATCTTTCAGCAATCATTTATGTTTGTTTCAGCAAATTTTAATATTTCCAAAAAAAGAGCAGCCTATTTGCAATCTTTGATTTACACTATTCAAATGATGAATGGGGACCATTTATATTGCTATCTTCTCTTTTTGGGTCGACTCAAAAGTTCATTTATAATTGTTTGTTCATTTTAACCTATAAATGAATTAATCTCAGATCTCTTATTTTGCCTTTTCACTTTATATCATTATTCAGTATATCTCCTATTTATATACATTTCAACAGCTATAGAGAAAATTGTTGGACATTAAGTGGACATACAGATCGTGTTGTTGTTATTGTTAGAATTCTTGTTGTTGTTGTGGAAAAATCATCAACTACTTGACCAATTGCTTTGAAAAAAGATTGTATATTTGACGATAAAGCAATTACTTTTACTTATTTCCAAAATTTCTGTGAGCTCTGTAGGATTCGTTTTTTGTGTGCAATGACATTATCAAAATTAAAAATTCTGCACCTTATGGCGGTGGAGGCTGCAGTATCGGAATTCTACAGTAACATATTACATACTCGTACTACTTCATTGTGACCTTCGTGTCCATATATTTGAGCATCGCTCTCTTATTTATTTTATAGGCACGACTTGGTAGCAGTGATCAAGAGGGATATCCATCGCTAAAGTCACACATTATGTTTGAAGGTGTGGACTGGGAAAATATTGCGAACCAGCCTGCTCCTAAAATAATGGCATCGTTGCAGAAAATTTCCAATGGACAACAGCAAACCAATATTCATGAATTGGTTGATGATTTTGATCATGCTATGTTGATTGATGCCACTGGGACAACACAGTCTTCAAAAGTATGTAATTGGGGTAGTTCAGATAATAATAATTTTTTTTTACACATTTTTTGCTTCAAGCAAAGTTTGGTACAAGCAACTAGTGATGTGTAAGGAACCATTATATATGGGAAAAACGAAATATTTCCAGTTTGGCTTCATTCCATAGATGACTAGGCTGGTGAACATGCGATCTGCGCATGAAATTTTTTACCTGTATTGTCTCTCTATTCATCCACTAGGCTCAACGTGCCTTTCGTTCCCCATGTATGTCACTGAGTCGAATATCTAGTCATCACAGTTGGTTTTAAGCAAGAACATATTATTTGTGTTGACCAGTTCAATAATAAATATTGCAACATTGGCAGCTTGTGAACGATTGATGATATTTTTGAGTGGATTTGCTATTTTCAAGTACAGGTAGTAGTGATCAACTGATGGTTGAAATTAGAATTCTTACTATTACCTAATTCAATTTCCCTGAATTTAAGCTATTAAATCGAAAAATTTCCATAAAATATGGATCATATCAGATGTGATTCCAACGATTATGTATTATTCTTTGAAATTCACACAACATGGTCAATTCTTGTTAGCTACCTTCCAAAAATATGTCTAGTTTTTGTTGGAAACGAAGTGGACTTGTGAAATCGTTTTGTCGTTATGTTGTTGTTATGAAAAAAACGCTTTTCCTATTAACTACCGGAACAATTGCTTTAAAATTTTCAGGGGTTAATAAAGATTGTTGTTGTCGTTAGAATGCTATTGCTTTTATTTATTTCAAAAATATCTGTGGCTTCTGTGGGATTCATTTTTCACTTTGAAGTTTTGTGTGATGATGTCATCAAAATTGAGAATTTGTTTGCTGAGGTTCTGTGATCATATCTAGTGTAACCTATTTTTGTTTTTATTTCATTCATAACAGACAAGTGAAGATCAACTTTCATCTTGTGATCCTTCGGACACTGAGGGGTTCGGACTCTCGGTAAATTTACCTGAAACAGAGAAGCAGAATTGGATGGAAAAGCAGAAGTCTTCCAAATGGCATTCGTTTTGTAAAGGGAAACTTATACTGAAACGAGGCAAGTTATATTTTTTTTTATCTTCGATATTTATTGACATTGAATAAGTTTGTTTATTTAAATTTGTTCAGAACTCTGTGATAAGATTGTGTAATATTAGATGCTTTCAGTGTTTTTCAGGATTTTTTTTTATCACACATTAAAAACCCATTGTGGCATCTTTTTATTTTTCATAAATTTTTTTAGAATATCTTAACTCTTTTGTTCCGTATAACTTATATATTCGTATTACCATCCTTGGTCATAATAGTTATTTTCGGACTATTTTACGTTTATGTTCATGTTTTGTGAAGTATTCCGCACTAACTAAATCATTTTGAGCATCCAACTATGATCCGTGCTTGATCTGTCAACATTTTGTTTTTTTGTAAATTTTTTATTTTACTACTAAGTGAATTTTATTTGTGTAGGCATTTCAAAGCTTAGAGATACACGAAAGTATTTGTCATTACTTCAAATATAAGTCATTTGAACGAGCGGGAAACAATTTCGCGCACATAATAAACAAACAAAGATTCCAGACAACTATCGTGGACATGCTCTCACATATCATTGATTATTTCGCGTTTCGCTTCGCTTGCGAAGCTGAGTCTGGTTTTTCTGCAAAGGTGACGTAACCCTCTTTCAGAAGAGCGCTTGGAATTTCGTTTCTTTGTAACACGTGTTCATGGAAGCGATAAGAGTGTGAAACGTTCTCTCAAAATTTTTTGAAATTTCTCTCTTCTTACACGCGTAGGGTCGAACAGTTTCGCCTACGTCATTTGGGCGCGTTTTAGTAGGAAGACGCGAAAATAAGCTTTTTAAAGAGATATTGGGGGTGTTCCTTGTACGTTTGGTTAACTGGTCATTGCATATTATAAAATGGTACATAAAGTCGATTGTATACAGCGGAAAAAAAGGGTTAATAAACTGTAGTAGTGCGTATATTATGATTTTAGTTGTTTTAACTTTGGCTAATTCTAAATTAGTAATGCTATTAATTTCAGGTATGCTAGTTTTTGGTTTCCTATTATATGTGATTTAGAAAAATTCCTATTAGATTGTATAAGATTTCAGCAGAAAATTCAAAATAATGATATATTGTAAATAGGAATATTTTTATATATCAATTTCTCGTGTCATTTTTGATCGAGGTTGTGTATTACTGTCACATATTTTGCCTACGTAGTATTTTGAAAACTGGTTTGGTGTTCCATTTTTGAAATTATTAATTTATCACATCATCATCTCTTGGTTTATTTCAGGGTGGTCCAAGGTTGTCGGCGTCAGGTGCCACATTAGTCCCAAGATATTTATAAGATTATATCCCATATCAAGTTAAAATTCTGTTAGGATTGGTCAGCTTTCCTTTCGAAACTGACTTTCAAACCAGTTTAGGCTGGTTAAGCACACTATTCAGTTACCTACCCTAATCACTTGTCTACTGACTGTCCCAGCTATCACTGTTGCAAGTAAATTCAACGACGTTAGTGATGCGTCAATTTGCCAAAAAAAATTCCCAGTTATTTTTATGACAAAACAATACCAAAATGCTACTCTTTGATTATCATCCGTTGTTACCTATATCAGCAAATGTTATGCGGGCCACAGATAATGATACAGCATGTGGCCGGCGGGCCTGGGTTTGGACCACCCTGGTTTAGATATTATTTTATCGCGGCTAAGTTAAAGGAAATGTAAAATATTTAATATTTTGATTAGAAATAGTTTTGAAATATCATAGCTGAAGCTCATGGGAAAGCTGAATGTCGTAAACAAGAAAAACCTGGAAAACAATTCTTAATTGCACTCCTTTCAATCATATTTACTATATTAAATTTTAAATGATCTTTGCGTCAATATGATGAAAAATATTTGAATGATATTGTAAAAAAAAGGATATCTATTAAACCTCTGTTAGGTATTAGACATTTTAATTCCAAATATATTCCAAATGTTATGAGCTCAGCATGATTTAATTTTCAATTTTACAGATCTGTTTACACGAGGCCATTTTTCAATATGGATAAAATATAACAATCCATTTTTTGTGGAAAATTTAAGCTATTGTATTAATCCATGAATTAAACTTGAAAGTAGTTGCTCTCACATAGTATCAATTACAATGTACAAAATGAATCGAAGAGATCATTAGTGTTCAAGTACCTTCAAGTTTTTGATATATGTATATTCAGTGTGGTCTCATAATAAATAAATGGGCGCTCCGGAAACCTTTGGGCAGGGGGTATATTCACTTGGCTAACACAGAAAGTCCGGAACTTATAACAGAACTAAAATAAGGAAAATCAGGAAATAAAATTATACCCTAACATGGTAAACATACTACGGGAGTACCAAAAAATGTTGTATTTTTTCGGGAGTGTTTTAGCATATTTATCTTACAAGTAAACTGTGTTTCCCACTTACAATCCATTTGATTTATATCCTTTGTAGCCTTTCATCCCATTGGTTTATTAAATTTGATGCTTAATGAAACCTCTATCTTAACTTTCTTGCACTGCAAAGATTAATCTCTATGAATGCCCTAATTCAGAATATATTCGATATTCCATGTTCGAAAATGTGATTTCAGAATTTACTGTTGTTTGAAGTAGTGAATTATTGAATTTTTACCATCCCCTGACTGTAAAATCTAAACTAGGTTGCAGATTATGTCCTAAAATGATGGCAAATGCATTGAACTTAGTTTTCTATGAATTCACTTTGTTTCTTGGTATTTTTTATATTTCAAAAACACTTTCTCAGCTGCCCTGGTTATCTTGTATTATCTGTGGCGTGTGAGGCCCTGGTATTCATTTACAATTTACGTCACCAATCAGGATGTCGTAACCTTGTTGATAGTTCGGATTAGCATAATAGACGTGGGTTGATAATACTAAATAACATACCAATATTAAGACAAACTATAAACATATCAAAACAACAGAAAAATTGATTGTGTCATTTGATGATCAATTATAGGAATGTGCAAAATGATTCAAATAATAATTGATGCCAAGGGAATAATAAATTAATGGAATACAAAAATATTTGTCACAACCAAGACCCTTGTAACGGCCGCTATGTTATTAATGATGTGTGTTTTCCTATGAAAATGACTATTGCCCCAAATGTATAACAGTTTTTTGGCTATTGAAACAAACACTTCGCACTCTTTAGTTCTCATGAAAATAAATCCCAGTTAGCACTGTTTAAAAATTATGTCTCTTGGAAATGAGTTAAAAGATCAAATAATAAAATGTACTGTATCTTCCTACCAGGATTCTTCAAAACGAATCGAATGTTCGAATACATTCAAAATTCATTATATTCGATATGGTAAAATTTTAACTTTAGGAATAATCGAGTACATTTTCATTTGGATTTTGAGCCACCAAACAAGCAGATCAAAACATATGATATATCAACTGGTAACGAACAAGACAGAGGAAGAAATGATCTTTTTATTCATGTCGTATAAATATGATCAACATGAAGATATATTGATTCATATAATTGTTCATGTGAACTTGCCCCCACTTTTGAATGTATTCAATATTCTCAGTGATGTGTCGCAACCCACAACACAAAAACGATTGAAAATCACTGCCGTATAGCTATGAAAATCTCAAACAACATACACTGGTATCGCAAATTGAAAAATTGAGGTTCGGTTTATAGACTAGTGTGGACTTTTTTTGTCTTTGTAAAGCTTTTTTTTACATTGATTTTCGAATTCAACATATCTATGGCCAATTTGTTTTTACAGTCTTACCTCACAAATTCTTTTTGTTGATTATTTGATATAGTCATCACTGTTATCACGCATATTTACTGGAAAACGCTATGTGAGTAAATATTGAGTGAGTTTCTCATATGTTTGTTGTTTACCCAAACCAGAGTTATTTAATTAAACCGGGGTTGTTTGCCCCACATAGAATTTCGGGTAATTCATTTTTTGAATGACTCAAACTGTGATTGCAAGCACAAGTCGGCCGGTCACAGCTTACAGAGTCTATCGTTTTTTTTTATCATTTATAGGCTATATTATAAAGTACGTGACATTAGACAATTTGTAACATTTTCAGTTACAAGTAAGCAGTTCAGTTTTAATCACCAATCATGTTTAATGTGCCTTATTTTTTGATTTAAAAACATATTGAATCGTTGGGGATTGATGCCACCAAGAATATATCTCTTAGTAACAGTATACTTGGCCAGCACTGAGTTTCCCAATTGTATGACCCCAGACATTTCTTCTTCTACTATTAACTAAATCGGAATAAATTATTTGATGCACATTTTGAATGTGTTTTTCTGGTACTTATGAACTAGTTTACTTGTTTTCAAACTATCATTTTGATTCAAAATATTTAATAACTTCGAAGAAAATTCTTTGCTGCAATACCTCATTGGTTAGAGAGCTCTCAACCTTGAATCCTTGAAAAAAACGTTCTTTTTCTAAAATTTTAGTTACCGGTGAGTGAAATTCACAATTTCCTAGCTGTGTTTATGATCATATTAACTTGATCTGCTTCAAGTCTCTAGTCAAATTGCATTTACTGGTAAATGTGGCACCACCATACTATATATGATACCTGTAACTCTTGGTGATTCAGTTATCATCCATATCTCTGCGCAGAGATAAGTTTTTCAATTTTGAGTGGATACTTTAAACATAATTGTCTTATAAAATTGAAAATGTTTTTTTCTTTTTCAAAAGTTAAAGGGTTTTTATATTTCGACACAACATGAATGAATTTGCTTATTTGAATACTAACTTCTTGGACAAAATTGATCCAACTAGAATAACTGAATACAAAGAACAATTTTTTAGTCCACATGCGAACCAACCATGCCGGTTTGGTAGATACTATTCGCTCTGAAGTTATCAGAGGACACCGAAACTAAATTGAGAGAAATTGTGCTTAACTTCGTCAAATTTCTTTTTTGTAATTGTCTTATTTTGTTTAATTTCAGGTATGATGGAAAAGAAGAGAGGGCTGTCTGTAAAACTAAGGCAGTTTATATTAACCGAAGGACCCAGGCTTATTTATGTTGATCCGGTATCTCTGCAACAAAAAGGGGAAATTCCATGGTCTGAAAAACTTTCTGTCGAGTTGAAAACCTTTCGTATTTTTTATGTGCACACGCCAAATCGCACATATCACCTGATTGATAAAAGTAACAATGCTATTAAATGGTGCAAAAAAATTCAGGAAGTATCAAGGCATTACTTTGGAAATAGTGAAAAGGGTAACTCTTCTTCATGACGCCAGGGTTGTCAGGTTTGTTAGATAGGGATGTCCATTATGCTCAAATTTTCAAAAAGGGGTCTGCTATCTTTAACATTGGAGATGTGTCGATAAATCTGTAACACTAAAATCCATAGTATCTTTTATTCAAGCAATGTTGTATGTTTTAGAGAGCATATTATCAATTTCAGAATGCTAAATTGGTGAATTATCTTTAAATCAGCATATCAAATTTATTTAGTGAATAAGTAAGTCAAAATTTTTTTTTTCACCCAGTAAATAAATCAATCAGACACAAATTATGAGAAAATGACAATTGCACCCTGTTTCTGGGGAAGGGAAGCCAAGTGGAACCAAAGCTGATTATTGAATAGTTTAAAACAGCTGCCAAGAGTGTTGTTTGTTTTGAAACTACTGTTATGGACATGATGAAGCATATAAATTTGACGAATTATCCAACTAAGATTGCTTATCAGATATAATATCAGATATATTATCTCTGGTACGCGGTGTTAGGTGAATAATTCACCAAATTCATACAGTATCCACTTTGAAATCACATCTTAGGCAGATTAAAGGAATTCCATATCACATTTCAACCCGATAATTGTATTGATGAATTATCTCGGCTTCTCCGTATTTTAAAAGCTATGTATCAATTTTCAGTAATTCAATGAATAACGCTAAATTATTGGTTCCCAGAGTTGATTAAACGGGGGCCAGAAATAGAAGCGGAAGGATATTTGCGGGCCAGAAGAGGAATGCGTCTGCACGGGATCGGTACCAGTGCTTATAATTAAGATACTGTTATACTTAAATTGTTACCATTTACCAATGCATGAACTGTGATAATGACGTAACAATTGGCTGTATCTGGAATGCAAAAAAAGATGAATTGCTGCCCATGGTTTGGGAAACACTGCGTTAAATTACACCATTTTAGAAATATCTGAAACCTGATATAAATGAAATCTCAGGCTAACGGAATGGTGTTAGTGATAATCGCTACATCTCTACGAAATTTGTATTCACAGCACCTCATGTGGAATTGTGTAGTAAATTTGTTGCTGCAGATTCCCTGCAAATATTTTCTTATCAAAACAGTTCCAAGACAAATAATGAAACTATGTCATCTTATTCAATCCAGGGAAATACGAACAAACAAAGCTGTTGGACATCCCTATATATAAAATCTGACAATGATATAAAGTAATCAAATATACATAAATTGAGTGATGAACAAAAACTTAACCACGTCTTGAACTATTTTTATATTTTTGAGCGGGTTAAACTATTTGAATGCTTTTCCTGAGTGCTAGCGAGTGTATTTAAAAAAAAACAAGGATAATTGGGCTGAGTCACTGTCTGGAAATGTGTGTGAAACTCAAGTCATCCTTAGTGTATGTTATATATATATTTCGTCATACCTTTCAATTTAGCATAAAAATTCGAAATATGTTTGGTAATTGAGTTTCAGGATTCTCAAATATTAATTCTGTTTATCAATATATTTGGTATGGGACAGGTTTGTTTACAAATAATTCTGGTTCTAAGAGTTTTCCAAATTGAAAATTGATTTGTAAAATTATATTAGTCTGGAATGTGTAGGATTGATATGCTAGGACAGGTATGGGCTATACAAGTATGATCCATCTATGATCATACACTGTAAATCATTTAAAGTGTTTTCTTTAAGTTATTTGAAAGATTTTGTTATGGGAAACTGGTGTGTCAGTATGATAATAACCCTACAGTCAGTGGTGGGTTGACATGCACCTCGTCTCGGAACAGTATTTCTCGAACTTTTCAAGCCGGGCCCCCTTTTTTTAATTTGTCAAGTCTCACACCCCACCTCAAAAATATCTAGCCAATTATAAGCTACAAATAACAGATAGTAAGACGAAAGTATGTTTCATTCAAAAAACACATTGAAAATATGTGGATGGAACATAAATAATGAAATAAATGAAAAGTTTTGAAATCTAAATATCCAAAATAATGCGAGCAAGATCAAATCTGACAAATATTTTTATTTTTAATTAGCTTCACGCCCCCTTAAAAAATCGTCTACACCCCTTTTGTGGGGCACACCTCATCGTTTGAGAACCACTGTCTTAGGATGTTGTGATAATCTGCGAATCCAATTTTGTTTTTGTAGCTATAAATGTAGCGTGGTTTTCCTGTTGTTTGTTAGTAAGTTTGAATCAAAAGAATACTCCTTCTTAAAATTTTGAATCCCATTTCTGCTTACAGTTTACTGAATTCTACTTTCGACATGCCTTATAGAAAAAATATATAAATGGTCACAATGCAAAGAGTAAAAATTTTAAACAGTTATGCCAGTAATGGATGTTTCCCCGATCCTTGACACCAGAAAAATTCTCCCTATACTTTACTATTACACAATTTTGGAGGCTCATTTTGTGGATGTTTTGGAAAGTTAGCACTTACTGATTCACATGCTTAAAACCATCATTTTTATTAAAATATACAACCACGTGCCACTTTCAACTATGCTTGAATAACTGTCTGATAGAACGAAGTGTCTAAGCGGCTGCAAAAATTGCAATTGTTACATCATCTTTGACTTGCTGAGTGGTCATTGTTACGAGAATTAATAGGGAAATTGATGCTCGGGGAAACATCAATACTGAAATAACCCATCAGGATATAAAAGCAGAGGTATCAAACTTCCAGGCAAAATTCCAGTATTCCAGGCAAATTTTTCTTAATTTTGCGAATCTCCTCAATGCAACTTCCTATTCTCACTTCCTCATATATTAGTTCCCATATTTTAGTTATATTGTTTCAAAGCTATGTAAATTGCGTGTATGTTATGTTTTTCTGTCTTCAGATAAGCAGCTTCTATTTCAGATCAGCTATTATTTATTTGAGGTCTTTATAGAGTTTGATTTTGGGGTTCAGCTATTTTCTTCTCTTCTCATTTGTAAAATTTTCATTATTTATTTCTTGTCATTTATTCGTTATTCAAGTTCTATATGTGATGTTTTTGTTCACCAATTGAATTCAACTTTTTGTTACAATCAGTAAATTTGAAAATTAAAACTTGATCATGAGTCATGACATAGCTCACACAAAATTGTAATGGAAAAATATATAACTTTTCAATTCTGTATTGAACGGCGAAATTTATGATTTATTTTTGTTGTTTTAATTAGTTGTGGAAAATTTTTCATTCAAAAGTTTGGCACTAATTGTTAAAATAAATGTATATTCATATTCCCTTAGTTGTTGAGTTCTTGTTCTGGCTTATTCTTAGTATTCAATTTATTTTGTTTCCTAGATACAATTGGTTAGTTAATTAACAAGTCCATGCATCTGAAACGAATAACTGGCTAACTAATTCCATACCCGACATGGACTGGTAATTGGAAAAGGAGCCGTGGTACATACGCTATATGATAAAGCTGCTTAACTCAAAGAAAACAATGTACATAATTTCATCAAAACTTCGACATATTTTGGGCTACTTTTATTAAAACATTTTTTGTAAACAAATTCATTTATTTTTATGGCAAATTGCTTTGGACAGTATTTGGATGCATGCATGAATTTGTGTTAAAATCTTTCGTTTTTAATTGCAAAGTTCAGAGTCCTTTACCATAAAATCCCATTTCTATATCTGGAATATAACTAACTGTTCCTACACAAAAATATTGTTAATAAAGCTGCATCTAAAACAACCATCCAAGAGAATGTTTTTCAGTTGTGCAGTCCAGTTCCTTTGAAAAGGTATCTACCATTCAACCGTCAACCACAAATATGTTACAGAAAAATTAACAGTCATTTAGATCAATTTTATCTATCTATTGTAACCAATTCATTTTGATAGAGGACCACTGTTTATATCTATTATAGGACTAAATTCTAGAATATTTTTAACAATTTCTGATTATATGAAGTTTCTTCCAAATAGAAAAATATATTTCTTACTGTTCAATACTGGTATAATTAATGATTGTAACATTGTTTTGTTTTCATGTCAAATAATAAATAAACACCGCCTGTTAAATAGTGTGCATAATTCAAGCTAATTTAACTACCCTGAGTTGTCTTGTAAGATAGGAAAAGATTCAACATTGTGACAGTAATGGTCTGATTTACATCATGCCTGATCTAGTTCCATGTGAGTTCCTCCCCCAAATCATGCATTCATTCTGACATACAAAGTCCTTTATGTAAGTTCATATTTCAACTAAGGTAAAAATATCAATCATACACAAATTAGGAGAAGAACGACAATCGCATAGCATCACCGTGAGAAACAAAGTCTGGTATCTAGCAAGGGTTCTAATATCACAAAAATAAGGACTTTTGGTTCGGGATCTCTGGTATTGATGGTGACTACCGTAAACAATCGAGACTACTGGCATTGTTTAGATTCTTAGAATGTCTATCTAACAAGACCGGGAACCCCTTCCCCCCCCCTTTTTTTTTTAAATATAGCAGTTTTTCGTAAGGGTTCTGCCAAAACGTCATAGCTTGTTTAATTGACAGTTCAATCTTATGACGAAACAGGACTAATCGCCCAGTTATGCCGCAAGCCACAGTCCACGTTTTCCAGCCGAACCCGCTGATACTAACGAAATGATTCCTCAACTCGGCAATTAGAAAGTTTAAAGTTCAGACCCCACCCTTTGAAAATTCCTGGCCTGTTTGATGCTATTTTTTTCTCAGCCTGGATCTTGTTTTTTACACCATCGCAGCACAGTGATAGTTTTTATTCCTGTCAGTTGCCATGAAAATGCGTTTTCGATGCGCCGTCTTACACTTTGTAACTTTTTAAACTCAACTGTCAACTGGACATCAACTGTTAGATCACCCACCCTAATCAAAGAACTAAATGCATGGACACGCGATTATACGGTGCATTGATTTCGAATGATTTTTTCAGATTTTTTTTTTTCTCAGATTCAGGGGAGGGGGGGTTTCATATCCACATTTTTGCATTGGTGGCTTTGTATAAAATATCCATTTCTGGACTGCTTGCAGCATAACTGGGCGATTAGTCGTGTTTCGTCATAAGATTGAACTGTCAATTTAACAAGCTATGATGTTTTGGCAGAACCCTTCCGATCCGGATACAGCAGAACGCAGTTTCCCCAAATTGGAGATACCATAGACTTACACTGTTAAATTGTTCACCAGCAATATCATTCAACAGTCATCATGCGAGTGTGATCAAACATTAGTGTAAACCAGAGGTGGCGAACCTGCGGCCTGCCAAGGACTTTCGTGCGGCCCACGAAGCATTCAGACAATCCAGTGTATGTTTGGCGTAAAGTCACAAACCTCCAAAAACTGTACAGAAAGAACGGAAGCGCAAGTGTTACCGTATTCATATTACTGGCAACAACACTATTTCCAACACATCTATTTTTTTTGGATCATCGATACCTCTAAGAAAAATCAGGAAACAGGGCAAGACACAGAACTTCCAGACTCCGCTCTAACAATGGATCAAAATGACCATTGTCGTAGCATAGTTACGCTCTCCTATCGGCAAACGCATGCGGTTTAATAGAGAAAGAGTAATCTCACTTTATGAAAATGTGATATTTTTGTGCACCATACACGTGATATTTGAAAGTAATAAAAAGTTTATAACTTCTGCTCAGTGAATGGTAGATCTCAAAAAAGTGCCTACGTTTTAAAAATCAGTTAATCGTGATTAGAGGGATTGGTTTACAATTTTTGTATCCGAAGGCCTGCGAAATACGGATCTTTTGTACAAAGCCTTCAACACTAATGCAAAAATGTGAAATAAAAAAAAAATTAAATACGTTCTGAAATAACAAGTTAGTAACTAACTATCCAGTTGCGGTTCGGGTTAGGGAAGATTTGAGGTTTTGAATTTCCGACGCAATCTGAATTCGTAGGAGCCCACCCACTCTAAAAATGTAATTGAATTATTTATAATTTACATTCAATTTTGAGCGGAGGCGGTGGTTTTTTATAAGGAATCTTTGTACAAAGGATCCCGAAATACTTTTCTGAGGCATTATCAACTAAAATTTTACGCGACACAAAATGTCATGAAGGAAAAATCGATAATGTAGGTTGATATTATCAATGGGGGAAAGGGTAAATCGTAACGAATCCTTAAATTTTTATGCAACTGTTTACGCAATTAGGCAGGTCACTCGTGAAAAGAGCCCACTTTTTCGACGGATAATGTTTTTTACTGTTATGTTATGTTGTGGTTTAGCTATTTTGCAGTTGCAAAGTATTTCATTGGCGACCAACAGGAGTCTATTTTTAATTTATTGCTTTTTAACTTTAATTCTGTGTTTAATGTAACATGCGGCTGCATCTACGAATTGAGAACATTACAATAATGAAATATCACATCAATCCGCGGCCATAAAAAGTGTTTCCAACTGCCAGATTATATTTAGTTTTGATTCATATTTTTGCGATGTCACGAATTAGTTATACAAATATGATGTTCTTGCATCACTGACTGTCTCTATCACTAGATATTTATATCAACGTCCGAGAAATCCCTATTTTGCTATAAAATATCAAAGACTACAATTTATTTCAATCAGTACATTAAAAATTGATTTTGCATTAATAACTCGCATGTAGTAGACTCAATCTTTTATGTTAAAAAGGCTGTGGTATTCGAATGGAAATTCGGATCTCGAACATCCGAGCCGAGCGTTCATATTGCATTATATAATTGGATAACATCAGCTGTATGGATGCCGTTGTTCGTTTTGTAGATGAAAATCAACAAGTATCATACGGTAGTACGACTAAAAATTGCGCGGCCCGCTCACTCACGGTGACTGATAAAGTGGCCCGCGACAGCAAATGGGTTCGTCAACCCTGGTGTAAACGAACATATTTCTGAGTTCATAATATATGGTCTCTAATTTTAGAAGACCGAAATTCCCGGCATTTGAAAAAATCACATTTAGACTTCTTCCTCCTCCTAAGTCGAAAGTTCTAAAATATTACTTAGTCTATAGCAAGGTGTCTACAAACCGGTCTATGCAACTGCCATTTTCGACCTCACAGACGTGCCCCCAACTCCTATTTCGTACGCATAATTCAAGTAGGCTATTGGCATTGAATCTTTGATCTGATTAAAATCTCACTTCGGATTTTTCATCACCCCATATAGTTCAGCCGAAACAATTTTTTGAAGTGTCATGAAGAACATTTAGTTTTTAATCAGAGAACCTGGAGGACGGGCAAAACTTAATGAAAAAGTTGAAAACGTACAAGTACGTGGCCCGTCCACCAAAAACAGTCAAAACAACACAATAAAATAAAGACACGATATAAAATCAGGCAATACCTTTTATATCAATTTAGGATGTGAGACACTGATCAAAAGAAGATCATGGTAATACTTTATAGTAATTCAAAAATTAATGGAGAAATTAAAGTTTACATAAAAATTTGTTGTATCTAATCAGAGAAAAAGTGATGGATTGCCAAAACACAAATATGACAAATGCAATTGAAAATTTGAGGTTTGTGAAAACTGTATACAGCTTCCACTTCATGGCGGCATTCTTGAATTTGTGAAATGTTACCGTGTCAGCTTGTGCTTCAACTATAGAACTGTAGACCAATCAATACTTTCAGACTTTAATTTCTCATTTGATTCCATTGCCAGTTCCAAATCCACAATACTCTAGTAGTCTATATGAATATCTATTGCCTTCTGTGGTCGCGCTGAATGTCTCGGTTGGCAGGTCGGAGTTTAAACATTGCAAACAGCGAAAAATCGCTGGACATTAAGTATTATCTGACTTTATGAATGTGTTTCAATTCATCTATATTCTACAGCCTGAGCTTGCGTATTTTGTTAGCTGGGTGATGACCATAGCAACGGCTTTTATTCTGATAGATGAACTCGAAGAGGCTTTCACATATATATATATATATATATAAATATGTGAGTTACAAAGTGTGTATCATAATCATTTGGATATATGCAACCACCAACGGTACACTCCGGTCACAAAGCAAGTAGATTCCGGGGTAGGCCATCCAGAAAAAATAGTTATCATTTAGTTATACTATAGCTATGGATAGCATTTACCAAATTGCTTTTTCCATAATATCCACTTAGTTTAAAATTTTACCTTCCTGCGATTTGTCCTTGTAAATAATGTTCATAAAATGTACCTTTTTACGTCACACTCACATGACCCGCTAGTCTAGTCCCGAACAGTATATATTACAAAAAATGCTGCCTCTGTGCCAGAAAATTTAGTAATTACCCTACTGTAGGCTACCTCACATTTAGTAATCAATCAATCTGCAGTTATTTGCAAGATGTTTTGTAAACATGACTTTGAAAAGAAAGCTGACGAATTCAGATCGATTTTTAACTGGATGTTGGAGGGATTTTACCACAATGCTTGCTCGATATGTCTGCAAGTTGTGTCGGTGACAAAAGCATTAAATTTGGCATTGAAAGGGCATTTTAGAATCCTTTGAGCAATGAGCATATTCCAAAGTTGAGATTTTGTTTAGAAATTCTTTTTGATGTTCGAAAGCACTTGCATTTGCGGTAGCACTTTTTCCGTGAAGAGTTTGTGCAATCTTATACTATATGTAGATATAGAAAGACTTTTGCAGGTTTTAGTATGTTTTTTGGTATTTTTTTGATGTTTTAGCTTGATAAATGACAGATATTTGTCAATGTGTTTGCACAATAAAAGTGTTTGTTTTGTATTGCACTGTTTATGTTTACCTATTCTTGGCACTATTGTGGCCCGCGAACAATGCTAAAATAATTTTGTGGCCCCCGGAGCCGACAACCTTGGACCACCCTGATCTACCCTGTATCCCAAAACAATGGGACAAGTGTGGCGAAGTGTGACAAGTGTGCTGAAAGGAAAAATTGTGAAAGAAGTGGGATGTCTTTGAGGCACCGTGTTATTAGTTGAAATATATATATTACTTTGGCAGAAGGTTAGAGTATTTATGTCAAGTGAAAATTTATACTGTTAGGATAAGTGTGGATCACGATGTGTTTGAGATAGC